GATTTCGTTAAATTAAGGCGTAAGATAGCTACCATGTCCGTTAAGGACGAGGAGACGATATACTCCTTTCGTATAGCTTATAGTCGATAGAATAAAGACCTTTTAAAGCTATTTAAGGGTTATAGAATACGTAGTCTATCCTTTTTTAGTAACTACTAAAAGCTAAGTCGACGGTAGGTCTATATCGCCGAACTAGGCCTCTATAAAGACCTTACTATAAAAAAGAACGTATAGCGGTAACGTATACCTCGACGCGCTTATTGCTTTAATTGTCGTTACCTATTCGCGATTTCTAGGCTATAAAAGAGCTCGCCGACCGTACGAAGTCCTCGTTATAACTTTTATAGTAGCTATAAGGCCGAGAGCTAAGCTAGTGTCGTCGAAATTATAGATATCCTCCTTAAGGATACCGTATCTCGTAATCGTACTTTAAAGGTAGTTAAACCACGTTATAAATATTTTTACGTCCTCGTATTAGGCTCGCCGGTAATCGTAAGACCTCGAAATTGAGTCGAGAGATTAGGATACCGTTAGACGAAGTTATAGACCTATTTTACCCTAACTATCTCCGTCGGGTTAGTCCTACGGTCCCCGAGTAGCAAATTAGCCACTTCTCGTACGGTATTCGGCCGAGGGGTAGCTCTACGCTTATCTAATAAGATAATTTAATTTTTAAGGGTTTCCTCTTCCAAAAAAGTTAGTTTATGGTTATTAGCGCGGGTTTCTTCGTGACTTTTAACACCTACTATACGGCGATAGAGCGTATTTAGCGCGTCGTCGAAATCGCGAGCTAATTGACGAATTGACGATATTATGTGACCCACTGGGTCATATGACCCTGGATGGTCCTGAGAGTAGTTAGATAGTCCTTGAAGGGTCGGAGCTTCTCTCCTTCCCCGTCCGTCTCTCAACCAATAAACTTACGTTATTGCTTGTTTCTTTCCCCCCGTCAAGACGAATTAAGCATTTTTCATCGGTCTAAAGAGAGCGAATAACTAATAAGATCCTGCTCTCTCGCTCTATACGTTTTTAAGAGCTTTGAGAGCGAATTGTTGGCATTGTGGATGGTTGAAAATTGATAAAATGAACATGACGCGAAACTAACGCGTAGGTGTTACACTCGCTTATATGTTCCACTCGCTTACAAAACACGTTAATAAATTAATTCAGGGTTGTCTACGGTATACTACTTATAGGCTAATAGTTAGATATGGAGCTATACCTAAATATTGAATGGTAACTTCAATACTATATTAATTAATATTAATATAACTAGGCGTTGTATAGAAGGATAAGCCTATATATATTATAATATCGCCTAGCTATAGTGCTATTAAAACCTCCCCTTATATTATATAACAGGTATTTATCCCCGAATTTAGGGCCAGTATCGAGAAATACTATAAGACTTCTTTCCATTTAAATGTACTAGTAAGATTTAAGACTCTTAAGTAGGGTATGTATATATATAAAAAAATTAAAAAGATCTAAGGATACTTTAAAACGCTGCTATAATAGAAATTATATAGAAACACTATATAAACTTAAATATTAAGTTCCTAAACACTAGCCGCCTATATTAAGAAAGTATAGTACTAAAGATATTAGCCTATCTAAAATTAGTATTACGATTAGTTAGTAAGCTTATCGCCTATTTTTACCCCTACGTTATCGTTTAGTATATTATTATATCTTTTATATCTCTATACTAGAAAATCACTTTAGATATCTAAATAAAGGGGCTATAGGCTATATATTAGTTAATAAGAAACTAGAGTATAGCGGTAATTACGATAGTAATAATTATAACTAAGATAGTATTACGTCTAAGAATTAAAACCCCTAACGTAATTCACATGCGAGTGGGCCACCTAGCCACTACCTATTAAATTTAAATGCAATTATCTTAACCAAAACGCCATTAAATTCAATAAGCTAAAAACGAGGTCTATCTGGACATGCATTTCTTTTATGACCCTCATTTCCACATGCTCCACACTTCGGTAAGGCCCTCGTACGTGGTTGTAAAGGTGCCGGGGGCGGTCTTGCCTAGCGGGGTATTGGTGCTATAATTACTTGCTCCGGCTACATTGCTAATGTAGAGGCCTCTAAAACCGAGAGACCTTCTTTAGAAGCTATTTGCCTTCTAGACCGAGTTCTTTTTCGCTTCTTCGTCTCGTTTTCAGCGCGTAATTCGCGTACTTCTTTCTCGAGAAAAGCTGCCGATTACATTGTGATTTAGCACGCTTTTAAAACCTGATCTATCGCGGAATTAAGCGGGCTCGGTGGGCTTTTTAAGCGCTGATTTAGCAAAGCTTTAATTAAGGAAGCTTGCTTTTGTAATTATACGTGGTTCGAAGGCGTTTTTGGATCCCACTCGCTCCCCCGGCTCGAAGGGGGTGTCGGGGTTCGAAGGCAAATATCGAGCTTTGAGATCACTCGATCGGGGTTATAAGGCATTAAACCGGCGCCGGCGAAGCTATTCTTAATAGTCTCCGATTTAAATGCCTCAATTCGTGCGGACGGGTAGGCCTCGAGGAAATCAAGTTTATCGATATGATTGATCCGGAGCCGTATTTTACTTTCGATAAGCTAACCGTACGAGCGCTTTAACGCCGTAAAATAGCCGATATTAAGAGGCTGTAAAAGGTGAGACGAGTGCGGAGGCATATAAATTGCGATAATATCGTTTTTCTCGCAAATTTCGTCGAATTTTGGGGTTAAATGACTTCCGTGGCCGTCGAGTATTAAAAGTCTATACTTCCCTTTCGTACGCGAAGAAGTAGACGGAATAAAGAGCTTTTCGAGCCACTAAACGCTAATTTTATCGGACGTCTACCCGTTTAGACTAACCTCGAGTCTCTAATTATTCGGAAGGCCGTCGAACCAAGATTCGACAAAGACTTTGCCCTTAAAAATCACGCACGGAGGAAGCGCCCACCCCGAAGTATTTATACACTTAATTGTAGTCACCTACGCGCGATTTCCGGGCTGTAAAAGCGATCGCCGACCGTAGTATTCCCTTCTCGTAATAACCTTCGTAGTCGCAATTAAGCCTATTGCGAATCCGGTCTCGTCAAAGTTATAGATATCATCGGGATCGATACCGTGAGAAATGATCGTTTTTTAGACGAGAGAAAACCATTCTTCAATGATTTTTGGATCTTCACACTTCGCGCGCTCGTAATTATAGCTTTTCGAGAATCGGGAGGAAAGGTTAGGATGCCTTTTCACGAATTTTGTAACCTAATTTTGGCCGACCGAAGGAGAAGGGGTAGATCCACGCGCCGCGAGTAGTAAATCTGCTATTTCTCGTATAGTAGAAGGCCGAGGGGCTACTCCGCGAGAATCTATAGAAAGAATCTATTTTTGAAGAGATTCCTCTTCAATTTCCGTCAATTTTAGATTATTTGCGCGAGAAGACGCGCGGTTTTGAACCCTATTAATGCGTATTGTGAGAGTTAAACGCGGTACGTTAAATTAGCGTGCTGCTTCGCGAATTGAAGCAATTTCTTGCTTCTGAATAGCCTGAATAGCTAATAAGATCCTACCCTCTTGCTCTATACGCTTTTGAGAGGATTGAGTACGAATTGGTGGCATAGTGGGTAGTTGAAAAAGAGAGGTCTAATTAACTGACGCGTTTTTAGGTGGGGTGGCCAACTCGGGGGTGTGGCCAACTCACTAGTGAATTACGTTAATTAGTACTATTCTCTCGCTGTTATAAAAGCTTTAGTTCTTTTTTTAAGAAAGGAATTGGATAATAGTAGATAATAACTAGCGTACGACCTATTACGCAAGTTTTAAGTACCTTTAATCCTATAAGCGATGCTATTTAGTCATATAACTAATATTTAAAGCCTAGTTATCCGTAATCGCTATTTTAGAGCTTATGATAAAATATAGATTCTTAGCCTTAGTACCTAGTAGATATAATAAGCTTAAAGGGATATCTTAACGGGTAGAAATAGGTAGAATTTCTGTTATTCAGCCTATACTAACTTATATTCTAGGTATTATACGAACTCGTACCTATATACTCTAGAAGCATTACTAGTATCAAAGTTCTATTAAACCCGTTAGAGCATAACTAGTATCGTAATAGCTATATAGGTGCTTCTTCCGAATGAAGCAGAACACGTAATCCGTATGCCTAATCAGGCTCCAATACAAATAAGAAGGCTGGTCCTCAAAAAGAGTGGAAGAACCAGCCCGATACATAAAGTCCAAATATCAAATGTCAAAAAACTATACAAATAAAACTCAATATAATAAATGCGTGGAATGTCCCTTCCACCTCCTCCCTATGTAAGCTTCCTCTTCCTTAACCCTCCTTATTCGACCTAAAAGCGAGATAAGCCCTCATTTCTAAGAGGAGCTTGATCCTTACTCGATACTTTGCGGTGCTAACTAACTAACTAATCTTGGTTAGACGTTATATCGGAATAGCTAGCTAAGGCTCTTTCTTTCCTTCCTTAGTCGTATACCTAGCGTATTCAGGACTCTACCCTGTAGCTATGAGGCATTAGTAAGGCGTTGTAAGTGTATTTCACTACACATCATTTTGCCAAAATGCAAGAAGTTCTTAGCACAGCCAATACACCGAGGACTAGCAAGTTTATGATCACCTTAATAGCCTCGTCTACGGCCTAGGTGTCACCGGCGATATTTCTACGTCTTAGGACGAGAATGCCTAGTCTAATCACCTAGGAAGCGTAAGATAGCTTTATATTTATCTTATTCTATATAACTATTTCCTCACTTTTGATACCAGGGGTCCTGATAGAATCCACGAGATAAAGAATGAACATAGATTACCATTTGATATATCAGAAGGCAACATTGTATCTCGTATACGCGGTTGACTCGGGAGTATCTACGGCGCGAAACCGCCACGGGCTTCCTACATCATGTCGTAATATAATAATAACTCGGTGATAGAATTATAAACGATCATTAACGGAACAGTAACTCGAGCTCCGAATTGATACCCAAGAAATAACCTAAGGAATATCACCCATTAGATCCTCATCCATCTCCAAGCCAACTTCCTCCCCTAGAACTGGATTCACTTCAGAGCCCGACCAAGGCTGTCCTTTATGAACATTGTCAACACATTCATCACTCAGGCCTAGGTTCTGATTGCTCTCGCTTAGATTGCCCACCAAGGCCTCCATTAAAAATCGCTCCCTCTGAAATTGAGATTGTATGTTCAATTCATGCGACAGTCGAGTGAACGAAGAAGTAGCCGAAAATCGCAGCATTGACGACATCGCATGATCTTGAGGCTGTAGTAACGTAGCGTCTAAAGCACCAGACAACACGAGAGACACAATCACAGACTCCGCAACTTCTCCACGCACGGGCAAAGGGAACACTTGTTTTGCAAGGTCGGCGACCGTTAAAGCTGCGAACGTCTTTCCAAGCTTGGTGATAGCCTGGCCGAAAAAGATGTTCACGACCTGGGAGACGAGGCCCATGTTATTGTCCTAGAAGGGTTATTAGCTCTGTAAATTAAGCACCCCCTTCTTCCACACCCCCGGGGAATATTCATCTACTGCTGCTTACATTCTGCCAGATATCTTCTGCCGAATCAACCTCAGCTTTCAATCTTCGGATATCACCTCGCTCGAAGGCGTGTGCAAGTATAACATAGGGTCTCGCCAATGACTGATATATCTTCATCACATGAGGGGTTGTGATGGTTGGAGGTGGGTACAACTGACCCCAAAAGACTAGTTAGCAAAATGACAGAAAAGTAGAATCGGACAAAAAGCTGTGGTCAATGTTCAATTTACATACCTTGCCATGTTCAAGTAGACCTACTAGAACCCATTTTTTGTATGCATCCACCATGACCAAGCTCACAGAGCTAGCAACAGGTGTAGAGACGACAACGCCAAGGAAGTGAAGTGCCTTGCGCCAGTCCTTGAGGGCCATGTACACCATACCACCATAGAGGAAATACTGTAGATAATCTCGATAGGATATCTTAGATGAAAGACCAGATGCATCCGTCACTAAGGAGATACTAGACTCGTGTTCTGCACAAAGTACAGGAGGGTCCGAAGAGTGACGCCCAGGCACGATTGGAAGATGGCAAATGTGTTTGTCCAAGACCGGCAATGCACAGGAATATGCATTTGCCCGGAGACACAGCCGGACTAGTAAGAGGTGAGTTGACGTGAAAACAGCACATGATGGGTCGAGACGCAACATAGCGTCTCTAATCAGCCTCGTAGCTAGGAGTGGCTGTGGACCGTTAGTAAATAAACCCAAGGACATGAAAAGAATAAACTTGCTTTAGATATAGCTTGTGAAGTATGTCCCACGATCTCAACAAGCTCACGCCACTCTCGCCCGACATATCTGACCTGAACTCTATCAAAATTTCTCAAGAAGTCTGCACTTCGTGTCCACAGCAAACCAGAAGGCTGGATTTTTGTTGGGATTGCTTCGCCAGTAGTTGCCTGCGCGGTTTGAATCTGCAGCCGAAGGATAAAAAGATATGGGATAGAATCTTTTGCTGGGTCGAAGCGCTGAACAGGAAGAAAGGAAGACAAATGTTAGCAGTAGCTCTATCAAACACTCATTCATGCGTGCTATAAAAAAAGATCCACTCACATCGAGGATTGATTCGTCATTGGCAAGGGTGTCAAGGGCCTTAGTGGACAGAAGCCGCCTCAAGTATTCGACCAACTCGCGAAGTCGACGGTCATAATCGCCACTGGAAAGTTTGGCAGAGTCGTGTACATGAGCCGATGCAGCGGCAAGGTCCGAGACAAGCGTCATTTCAGCGATGCAGGGCCAGAAATGCCCTGGAAATATGTCGAAAGAATAGAGCGGTTCGTTCGCAACTGCGTGAACAATGCGGAGTAACTGTTTCAAGGTTGCAGCACGACCGCAGGGGTAGAGGGAAAAACCAACGCTAAAGTTGATAAAAGAGTAAGCCTCAAAAGAGGGGGAAAAAAGAGGGAATATTTAGAGCTAAGTTGACAAAGATGGAGTATAGAAGAGAAGAGAGGAAAAGAGAGAGAGCTACGGTTAACAATAGCTTCTTCCCCCGGGGCGGGAGACACCGAGCGGGATCGATAGCGTGCCCCTCCAAACCTTGACTCATTTCTCAGTTTTCAAACCTCCAGCTTTCCACCTTTTCAATTATTCCATACCATGTCGCTGACTGGCTCGGCTGCGATTGACGTCGCTCGTAGCGCATCGCTTGCCTCTCGTCGCCTCGCAACATTATCCAACGCTGCCCGCAACGAAGCGTTGACGGCGCTCCATCGTGCATTGGATGTGAACCGAGAGGTTATTCTCGCTGCCAATGCTAAAGACTTAGAAGCTGCCAATCGTGCGGCTGATAATGGAGACCTAAGTCATAGTGTGATCAAGAGACTTGACTTGTCGCGGCCTGGAAAGTATGATGACATGCTCGAGGGCATACTGAGTGTGCGAGATCTGGAAGATCCGGGTATGCAAAACACTTATATTGATTCGGATAGACACTGACACAAATGCAATAGTTGGCAAAGTGACACTGCGAACTCTCCTTGACGATGGTCTGACCCTCGAGAGAGTCAGCTGCCCTATTGGTGTTCTGCTGATCATCTTCGAAGCCCGCCCAGAGGTCATAGCCAATATCGCTGCGTTGGCTATCAAGTCCGGCAATGCTGCTATCTTGAAAGGTACACGTGCCCTCAGCAAAGTTACTACTGCAGATTTTATTGACGTGAATCCATAGGCGGGAAGGAATCCATTGAGTCTTTTGAGACAATTGCAAATGTTGTATCTGAAGCTGTTGCTGGTTCACAGGTGCCGGTGGCATCAGTTCAGTTGGTTAAGACACGCGATGCCGTGTCTTCCCTCCTGGCTCAAGATTCGTTGATTGACCTGGTCATCCCTCGTGGCTCCAACGAGCTTGTTCGATTTGTGAAGGATAATACGAAAATCCCTGTACTTGGACATGCGGACGGCCTTTGCTCTGCTTACATTCACTCTGATGCCAACACCGAAACTGCTATGAAAGTCATTGTGGACTCGAAAACAGACTATCCGGCGGCGTGCAACTCACTGGAGACCTTGCTTGTTCACGAGGACATCCTTGGGTCGGTTCTCCCCGTGGTAGCTACTGCACTCTTGGACAAAGGCGTGTCTCTCCGCTGTGATGCTACATCAAAAGCCGCTTTGACAAAAGCGCTGCCTGCCGAGAAGACGGCGCAATTACAGCTGGCCACTGAATCCGACTACGATACTGAATTTCTGGACCTCGTTTTGGCCGTGAAGACTGTTCCTTCGGCCAACTCCTCGATTGCTGCAGTGGAGGCTGCTATCGCTCACATCAACTCACACTCATCCAAACATACGGATATCATATTGACTGAGTCACAAGAGGTGGCGAATATGTTCACGAGCGGCATTGACAGTGCAGGTGTTTTCTGGAATGCATCTTCTAGATTTGCCGATGGGATGAGGTTTGGATTTGGCACTGAAGTCGGCATCAGCACCAACAAAATTCATTCCCGAGGGCCAGTTGGCCTTGAGGGTTTGACCATTTACAAGTACTTGATTCGAGGAAATGGCCATCGGGCGGCGGACTACCATGATGGTGCAGGAGGACGGAAATACCTTCACACAAACCTGCCTCTAGGCCAGTAAGTTACCTTACTGGCTCATGTATAGTGCAATTTAAAAATATTTTTCTTTTCCCTCTTGATTGTTCCCGTTCAAAAAAAAAACATGTCATAAGAAAAAATTAGGACAAAGCCTGATTCAATTTTCTTTTGCCCCTTCATTCGTAAATTCTCATTTCCCAGTCCAACCAAAGACGTTCCGCCATTTTAAGTACAAAGACTTGATATCGCTGGCTAGGACCGGAATGATTCCAGGCACTAGAGAGGCTAGTGTGATGATATATCCACACTGCACTGTCATCCCCCCAAACACAAAGCCTCTTAGACCTTGAAACCCTTGGACCTTCTGCGACCACGGGCACGCTCGAACTTGCGGCCCTTGCTGCCAACGTAGGGCTTCTGTTTTGAGTTAGCATATAGAAGATAAACCTCAATTCCACTGAATGGAGGCCTAAATATCCGGTCAAACGCACCTTGTCAGTGTGGGGACCGAAGCCGAAGTGCTTCACGGCCTCACGGGAGTTCTTGGGTCCACGAAGGAGGAGGGTGTTGGCACCGGTGGGAGCGCGGAGAGCAAGCTGGTCCAGGGTCAAAGTCTCACCACCAGCCTTCTCAATGCGAGCGCGAGCGGTGGCGGTGAAGCGGAGAGCAGCGATCGAGAGCTTGGGAACGTTCAGGAGGCGGTTGTCATCGGTAACGGTGCCGATGACGACGACGGTCTTGCCCTTCTGGGCCTCGCTGATGTTCGCGACGGCACGCGAGAGCGAAACAGGGGGGCGGTTAATTCTCGACATAAAGAGACGACGGAGAACAGCCTTGTTGAAGTTGGACTCGGTACGGCCTATCATTCATCCCAAATCAGCCTTTTAGATCCTCCAAAGAGTGCGCCTTGTGCGAACGAAAATCGTGAACGGGGGAGGGAATCCATACGGGCAAGGAAGCGGTAAAGCTTCACCAACACCTGCAAATAGACGTTGTCGCTCTTGGGAGCCTTGCGGTGGCTGCTCCGCACATGGTGGCGGTCCAGGTCGATACCTGCGATTTGGACATGGTCAGCGGAATTGCGCAGGGAACAGGGACAAAAGAATTCGAATTCGATGAATACTGTAAGAGACAGTAGCCGACAAGTCGAATAAGATAGAACATACCCATGGCTGCTATTGATCGACTACCTGGGAAATAGCTTGCTGTCGCACCCGTATGGAAAGTGTAGGAGGTTTTTGATCCTCAAGTTTCGGCTGGACGGTGGTGTGTGGGTTGAGCCCTACCCTAGACCTGATTAGGAAAGGCGAGGCACCTGACCACGTTGTCACATGACCAAAATGCCACTCTCTGGGTCACGTGTAAGTATCCGGTCTCACGGGGCAAAATCTTAGCGCCAAAGTTGTACAAGTAGATTCCACACTTGGCTCTATCATTATGCACAGGTTATCCCTCTTGATATGGGTGATCTCGAAGATCCAATGCCTGACTACCCAATGAAATGACAATCAGATATGAAACAATGCACTCATGCACCTCTAGTTATATTGGACTACTCTTTATCTCCCAAAGTGACGAGGAAATCCCGAGTCATTTCAAAGCTCAACCAGCTGCTAGCCATACTGGGAGCAACTTTGAGAAGATTCGGCCCTATTCCCTTGAACAACCCACGTAGCCCTTCCTCGGCAACAATCACCCTGACAGCGTCCCAAATGGAGGTGTACTGGTACCCCATTCCCGACATTGTGTTAATTTGGAACCGTCGGCGGAGCACGTCACTATACAAAAAAAATGAGTTTTCTGGCAACCAAAACAGGATAAGGGGGAATCAAAACTCACAAAGGATAGGTGCATGTCTGAGCGACTGCTCCAGAGATCGCGCCAGCTAGTAATTTTCGATATGGGCTGGGGTTCTTGTCCCCATCCGGTGTCAGATATTTGCGCACTGATTCGTAGGTCATGAAATTGAGCCCCACCTATCGTTGGTCAGTTGGGAGGTCAAACGGGGAAATACAGTAGACAACTCACGTAGGGGGCCACTCCGGCGACAGTGGGGGCAATTCCACGATACAGAGCCTTGGTCCCACCCTCGTTTTTATATATCATCACCATTGTGGTGAACATGCCAGGTAATTTCTGGCCAGGGTCTCGTGTTCCAAGGTCGGCAAATGAAGCGGACTGAATAGATAGCCGAGTTCGAACAATGTCCAAAGGATAGGTGAAGGTGACCGAGGTGATTCCTGCAGCACCTCCGCAAATAAGGCGGCGCATGGGTGTCATCTCGCCATCGGGAGATTCGGCAAACTAGAGCAACACAAGCATCAGTCTGGATCCTCAGAGGCAGGCCTCGGTCTCTGTGCGGCATCACTCACTTTCTTGTAAAAGTTATAGCTTCCAAACTGCACAGCCGAATAGGGGATGATGCGAATGCAGTTGGTTCCATTTCCTCGCATGAAGCCCCGCCAACCTTCTTCACGGCCCATCTTCACGAGGGCCTTCCAAATTGATAACCTGTATTCTGTTCGACCAACGCTTTGAATTTGAAGAAGAATTTTCAACCGTTCGAGTGGTGAAACTATCGTCCTGGATACTGCACCGGCGACTCCACCGGCCATGAAAGCAGCCACCACTGGCTCTGCGAGGTTGTTTCGAGTCCGATCCAATAGCGACGGAGCTTGCTTCGCGACAGTCCCCTGCTCAAAAACAATCAGTCTTCCTAGCTCACATCGGACTAGAATTTCTCCAGGTTTTACCTTGACAGAATTCGAAGTGGGAAATTGAGACAAGTTTTGCAAGGCAGGCTTTGCAGCGCTTTCCAGCTCATGTTTCTGGGCGTCATTTTGGCGATCCAAGCTCATCTTGACGAACGGCACATCGAGTATTGCGGATGAGGGAGGAAGAACTTTAGCCCAAATATGTTGAGGGTATCAGGTCTGGCAACTGTTGATCTCGATTGCGCAGCGTCCAGACGGATATTTTGATAGCCCGACGAAATAAGGAAGCACCGGAAATCTGTTTTGTATTGATGTAGTGCTGGCCATGAAGATTGGCTATATTTCAAGGCCTGACGGTCTAAAAGCACATCGTTGGTCTGGCAGCTCCGAGGGATCGTATAATCGATGAAAAGGTATGACAGTTCTAGCTGGTTTAGAGGACCCGAGCAAAGAATTGGGTAGGTGACTTAACCCAATTCTGGCAGAAGAGTAAATAGTATTGGAACAGAAGAGAAATATAGACTGTTGCCGATGTGAGAAGAGCAGGGAACAAGCTTTGGTGAGGTTGCGATAGAGGACCTCCCGACTTGCCGACAGACACGGTACCTCCCGATGGTCCGCCACTTGAATTCCCGGTACCTCATGAACACACACCTACTGTCTATACTTGTTAAGAATCATTCAAAATGTTTTAAAAAAATTGATCACTACTTAATGAGCCATCTTCTTTCGGTATAATGACGTATTTTTAAGAAAGATTTGGAACGTCACTTTCATCATTGGCGTTTCTGGCACTTGTGGTCGACCGTAGCACCTTCATCACCCAATTCTTTCAACCTCGTCTCCTTCCCATACTGCTGTACTCTTGAAGCTTCTAAAGCTCTCTCCCCTTCTTCTTCTATCCTCTTGCACGACACAATGTCTCGCTCGGGAACCACTCTGTATGTCACCGGGTTCGGCCACGGCACCCGGGCTCGCGATCTTGCCTACGAATTCGAACGGTACGTGTCGCCTTTAGCTTCGCACCTACGACCTTCGATCCCCATCCTTCCGACGACGTAACGAGACCACAATCGATGGGCTTGGAGGATATATGTTGCCTATTTTCTTTCAGTTTGGCCTTGCCCCCGCCCCCCTCCTTGGGCAACTGCTGGTCCTGGGGTCATTCGTCATAATTTTCTCCCAATTTGGACATCTGGAGCTGTGTAAGACTGATATTTGAAATAGCTATGGGCGTCTTGTTCGCTGTGATATTCCTGCTCCGCGCACCCCTTCTAGCCGGCTGTGAGTTACTATTTCAACACTTGCGATGGACTTGTTTCTGACCTCAGCCCAGGTTCGCATTTGTTGAGTACGAAAGCCGCCGTGATGCTGATGATGCCTACCATGAAATGCATAACAAGCGTATCGGTCGCGATGATCTGCTGAAAATCGAGGTAATATTATGTCGCACACTGATTTCAATATGTCTGTCTCTAACCCCATCTACAGTGGGCCCGCACTCCCCCTTCTGCCTCTTGGCGCTTTGACTCGGGCCGTGAGCCAGGCCGTGATGCTGGCCGTGATGCTGGCCGTGACCGACGCCGTGACCGCACCCCCCTCGTCGTGGTCGTTCTCCCTCCCCCGCCGCAGTCGTGGCGGTGAATATTCTCCTCGCCGCGATGATCGGTATGAGCGGGACTATGACCGCGATTACGACCGCCGCGACCGTGATTCTGACCGCCGCGACCGTGACCACGACCGCCGTGACCGCGACCGCTCCCGCGACCGCTCCCGCAGCCCTGATGACCGTGAACGTGAAGGCAAGGATGACCGTGAAAGACGTGATGATGACCGTGAGCGCCGCGAGGAGGACCGAGAGGTTGTCACCAATGGTGAAGACAGGAAAGGTGAGTCGCATCATCATTCAGACTAGAGATTTTTCTCTCTTTGCTCATATCCACTCAGTACCCCTGGACCCAATGCCCTCTGCTCATGATGAGCTTGATACTGCTGAGTAGATCAACTCACTACCTCGTCCTGTCTCGGATCCCATTGATTGCAGAGGTGCCAGCTAGGCAAAGGATAAGGTTATTTCACTGAGGTGCCCATCGATGTGATCCTGGTCTCACCCCACGGCGGAAAATTTCGCGTGTTTTTATCTTGTGCCTTTGTTGATTCCAAATGCCCCTGAAGCTTGCTTTTCGACATCATACTCGGGCCCTCCCGCCACCCTTCATTTTCTTTTTGAACCCCCCTCCCCAAATATGCTTATCTTTATTTTTTTTTGAGGTGTCGGTATTTATCCTGGTCAGCAGCTCGGAGTCCACCGAAGCGTCGAGCGAACGTTCCAAGTCCTCGCCCTCGTACCACGATGAATTCCAATCCGCCCTCCGTCTCATGTGCGCAATTTAATATGAAAGCGATTCCTGCCCTTCCTCGCCCTTTCCGACCGGTTGCAACTCAAAAAATTCGTGTTTCTTTCAATGACTGTAGTGTTTTAGTTGTACGTGGGTCTAGATGCTGTAGGAACCATTTAGAAGTCGTTTTTCTTCCAAAAACTCAAGCCCGACATTCACGACTCTCTCCTATTGCTTTCCATATACAGAGTACTCGAGCGATCAATAAGCCATCAACAAAACTTGGAGTCTCCTTGAAAATTTGCCCCTTTGTAAGGCTATCTCATACTCCCGATGACGTAGTGAGAACTTGATATGCGGGGAAAATAGCATCTCCCCATCTCTATCTGTCCCTTGCACTTCTGTGAAAGTTACAGGAAATACCACTTCTTTGCAATGAACTCAAAGACCCAAGGAATCAGTATTGCAATCGATGTATGATTTTCCGCCCCTATGCTTCAACAAACTAACTGTCTATAGCGGGGCGGAACCTTTACAGACTGCGTGGGCAATCCAGGAACAGGATGCCTTGAAGATGATATTGTGATCAAATTGCTTTCTGAGGATCCGGCCAACTACGAAGATGCACCTTTGGAGGGTATCCGACGTATCCTTTCCAGATTCACAGACCGTGACATCCCCCGCGGAGAGCCTATAGATACTTCTTTGATCCAAAGTATCCGGATGGGCACAACTGTGGCAACCAACGCGTTGCTGGAACGAAAAGGAGAGAAGATTGCACTTGTGGTCACTAAGGGTTTCAAGGACTGTCTTTTGATTGGGAATCAGTCCCGCCCTAAAATCTTCGACCTAGCCATCAAACGTCCCGATGTGCTATATGGGGAAGTGATTGAAGTGGATGAAAGGGTCACTTTGGAGGACTACGCAGAAGATCCACAACGGAATACCACTGCCACTGTCCCCCGGGAGCAGACTGCTCCAGAGGCTGACGTCGTTCGTGGCCTTTCTTCTGAAGCAATTCGTATCCTAAAACGCCCATCCGAGAGCTCCGTGAGGTCACAGCTACAGAAGGTATACGACAGTGGAATCCGAAGCATAGCCGTATGTTTTGTTCATGGATACACATTTCCAGATCACGAGGCACTGGTGGGAAGAGTCGCCAGCGAAATCGGCTTTCAACATGTCAGTTTGAGTCACCAGCTCATGCCTATGATTAAACTCGTGCCACGTACTACTTCAGCATGCGCAGATGCATACCTGACCCCGGTTATCAAGAAGTATATTTCGGGGTTCCAAGCTGGATTCGAGGGTGGACTAGGCAGTGAAAGTGTCAAACAAGAAGCAGGCACCAAAGGCGCACGCTGTGAATTCATGCAATCGGACGGGGGCTTAGTGGATGTGGACCAGTTTTCAGGCTTACGAGCAATTCTTTCTGGCCCTGCTGGTGGAGTGGTTGGCTATGCGTTGACTTCGTATGATCCTCTGTCGAAGATCCCAGTGATCGGCTTCGATATGGGAGGGACAAGCACCGACGTCAGCAGGTATGGGTCTGGCCGATATGAACACGTGTTTGAGACAACGACTGCTGGTGTGACTATTCAGTCTCCTCAATTGGACATCAACACTGTGGCTGCAGGCGGTGGCTCAAGGTTATTCTACCGCAATGGACTATTTGTCGTGGGACCTGAGTCCGCCGGTGCTCATCCAGGGCCCGCGTGCTATCGCAAAGATGGCCCTTTGACGGTCACTGATGCCAACCTCTTTCTTGGGCGATTGGTTCCCGACTTTTTTCCAAGTATATTTGGTCCCAAGGAAGACCAGGGATTGGATGAGGATGCAAGCCGGCGCCTCTTTGAAAAACTCGCCAAGGATATCAACGAAGAATTGACCAAGGGAGGCCAAAGCAGAGACATGACTCCCGACGAGGTTGCATTTGGATTCATCAAAGTCGCCAATGAGACAATGACCCGACCAATTCGGTCCTTGACTGAGGCCAAGGGACACGATACTTCAAAACATAGGCTGGCCACCTTCGGAGGAGCTGGGGGACAGCATGCCGTTGCTATCGCTGAAAGCCTAGGGATTCGGCAGATTTTGATCCATCGGCACTCATCGGTGCTTTCGGCATACGGAATGGCTTTGGCAGATGTCGTTGATGAAAATCAAGAACCAGAATCCAAGGTGTGGGGGAATGAGATTCGACACGAACTTGAGTTGAGAATACAAGAGCTCAAAAAGCGATCTGCACACAGGTTGGAAAACCAGGGCTTTGATGAACATTCGATTGTATTTGAAGAATATCTCAACATGCGATATCGAGGCACCGAATCCGCTTTGATGATACTGAAACCCAGCAAGGAAGAGGCATTTTCTGACGAATGGGCGTTTGGTGAGGCATTCGTGAGGCAACATGATCAAGAGTTTGGCTTTACTCTTCCAGGTCGAGATATTATTGTGGACGACGTGCGGGTGCGAGGTATCGGGAAAGGCTTCAAAGCATCCGAGAAGACTGTGGACCAGCAGATCGAAGAATCCAGTCCAAAGGATGTCTCAAGTGGGGAGTATCGCAAGTCCCTGGTGTATTTTGAGGGTGGTAGGCTTGAAACCCCCATCTATGAACTTGATGGCTTAGAAGTCGGTGATCGGGTGAGAGGCCCAGCAATTCTGGCCGATGGCACCCAGACTATCGTAGTGACACCTGGAGCCTCGGCGCTCTTGACGAAGACTCACGTTGTTATCAACATCGGCGAATCTGATTACAGCAATCCCAAGACGAGCACCGAGGAAGTCAATCCGATACTTCTGAGTGTTTTCTCGCACAGGTTCATGGCCATTGCAGAGCAAATGGGACGAGCATTGCAGAAGACAAGCGTCAGCACCAATGTCAAGGAGAGACTGGACTATTCTTGCGCATTGTTCGATGCAGAAGGCGGACTTGTCGCGAATGCACCACATCTGCCCGTCCATCTCGGAAGCATGTCGACCTGTGTACGAATGCAGGCCCAGATCTGGCAGGATAACCTGAAGCCTGGCGACGTTATTGTGTCGAATCACCCTGAATATGGTGGAACCCATCTTCCAGATATCACCGTTATTCAACCAGCATTTAGCCAGGGAAAGATCATCTTTTATGTTGCTTCCAGGGCACATCATGGTAGGCTTTTATCTCCCCCACAACGCGATGCTTTCTAACCCTTGTTCAGCGGATATTGGGGGGATCCTCCCAGGCTCCATGCCGCCTCATTCAAAGGAGCTATATCAAGAGGGCGCAACCATCAAGAGTGAAAAGCTGGTATCAGAAGGCAAGTTCAACGAGGAACGGATCACAGAATTGCTGTACACAAAGCCAGCTCAATACCCCAACTGCAGTGGAACTCGTTGTCTGGCAGATAACCTGAACGACCTCAAGGCTCAAATCGCTGCGAACAAGAAAGGCATCAACTTGATTGGCGCTTTAATTGAGGAATACGGCGAGGACGTTGTGCAATTCTATATGCATCAAATCCAGGAGAACGCAGAACTCAGCGTTCGTAATTTGCTGAAAGAAGCCAGCAAAAGATTTGCTGGACAAGACTTGAGTGCCATTGATTATATGGATGACGGAAGCCCGATTCAGTTAAAGATCTCTATAGACGCGGGCAAGGGCGAGGCCATTTTTGATTTTGAGGGAACAGGACCACAAGTTTATGGTAAGGATGTATTCGACTTCTATTGACATTCGATCTGACTAGATACCAGGCAATGTTAATGCACCGGAGGCTGTCACATATTCCGCAATAATCTATTGCTTGCGATGCCTGATTTCTGCAGACATCCCGCTGAACCAAGGCTGCTTGAAGCCGATTGACGTACGAATACCCCCGGGAAGTATTTTGTCCCCCTCGGAAACTGCAGCCGTCGTTGGTGGCAACGTACTAACGGTAAATTCATCCATCCCGACTGATAATGACATGGGCTCATCATTTCTGGCCAGAGTCAACGGGTGACGGACGTCATTTTAAGATGCTTCAAAGCTTGTGCTGCCTCGCAGGGTGATACCAACAACCTCACGTTCGGTTTTGGGGGAAATCAGCTTGGCGAGACTGAAATGAAGGGATTTGGCTATTATGAGACCATCGCAGGTGGTAGCGGAGCTGGCCCGACATGGGAGGGCACCTCGGGGGTTCATACACACATGACCAACACCCGAATCACTGATGCGGAAGTATTTGAGCGGCGATATCCAGTCATACTTCGAGAGTTTTGCTGCAGACCAAACTCAGGAGGCAATGGTCAGCACCGCGGAGGAGATGGTGTCGTGCGAGATATTGAATTTCGGATTCCCGTGCAGGTCTCCATTCTTTCCGAGCGGAGAGTCTATCATCCCTATGGACTAGAGGGGGGAGAGGACGCGGAGTGTGGTCAAAACCTCTGGGTTCGTCCAGTGCAGAGAACAGATGGAAGCTGGGACGAAACATATATCAACCTGGGTGCCAAAAACTCCGCTCAGATGCAAGCAGGGGAGCGAATTATTGTTCGCACCCCTGGGGGAGGAGGATGGGGTCTACCCAGTAATAAAAGCCAAATCCTTCGGCAGGAAGATGCTCGTCATGCTTGGCGAGGTGGTTCTATCGCCAACCGTGTGGCGACGGAGGAGGCGAGTATCTAGACTGTAGATCTTCCAAGTTGGTAGCAAGTCAATTGTGTTGAAAGATGAGTACAGTATGATATTTGACACCATTCACACCCCGTGTACCCATCTGTAAACAACTACAATCCTAGCCCCTCGAAAACGGGCAAAAAAAGAGGTGAAAAAAAGGAGGCCAAAGAGGGGCAAAAACAATGCATGAAACGGTATACTCCCGAAGCGTCGTGTGAGATAGTTCAATACTTCAAAAGTGGCACTGTATACACATTTATGGCCCCTTGTATCATATTTGACATATTGTGATTAACAGTGGTTAGGATACACTTAGGAACTAGAGGGATCGCTTTGGCAGATCAGTCCCAGCAAGCGACACCTTTTTGGTCTCTGCTTAGCCTTCATGCCCCCATAATCTCATTCGCCTTCGTCCTCGTCACTGGTCGCCTCGATATTCTGCTTTGATGGGCTTCGATTGCTGTCCGAATCCTGGCCCCCGCCTTCACTTGGGATTCCACGATAGGTAGGCCGAGGCAGGATTTCACCACTCTCCTTTAGTGTCTGGTCAATCTCAGGAAGAAGAGTTATGAGAGCGGAAAATTGATCCATAGGGAGTGAGATCCCCTAGACAAAGTCAACATCAACTCAGTTGAGTGTAAGTGAAGATCTTCACCTTTTTGCCGGGTAATTCCTGTCCATCTTTCGCGTAGTATTCCCGGATGTTCACCATAGTTTTTCCTCGAAAAGAGGAGACAGTAACGCGGCGCATCTTAGATATCTCCCAGTAGCGATCTCCATTGGAATCTGTTTTGCTTGTGTCTGTGTTGACCTTGGCCTTCTTTTTGCTTGCATCGTCAAACCCGGCGTCTGACTCGGAGCGCTTTCTGGATGTCATATTGAGAGCCGAGAGATGTGTTGCGGAGAGGAAGTAAGAAAATCACCTGGACAGCTTCCAAGTCGCGTCGAACGCGCGGGGTCACGTGGGGACTTCTATGTAGATGAGGAATAATGCCGGACTACTAACTTGTTACTTGAGTGTTTCTGGATACTCTTGTCTGTTTGTCTTGGAACACGGCATTGGTACTCCAAGGGGACCATTAATATTCATTTATCAATACATTGCGTGAAGGCTACAGGGTCAATACTCTCAAACCCTGGAGCAGGACCGAAAAGACGAAGCCCCGGGCGACAGATTCCACCTGAAGACTGTCAAAGATTTTTTCCAATGCCTCCCGGCTAGCAGCTGCTCCCATGACGCTGGTCAGTGCTTGGGGAATCCCTCGCTGCACAAACAACCGGCGCGCAGTATCTCGTAGACGGGCCTTCTCCTCCTCACTGGGTGGACTGGGCCAAGCTTTCAGTTCTGTCTCTGTCGGGAGCGCATTCTCACGAAGCTTGGCAATGTAATTCCCAAGGGCTTCATCCGAAGTATGGCCCTTAATCATAGAGTCCTGTAACAGAGTACGGATCGTTTCCAAGGTCGGACTACCAGGACGCAGAATATACGACCTAGCAGCGTTCAAGAGGGTCCGCCGAATGTTCCATGCAGATGACAAGGTATACAGCTCATTGATGACCGCGAATATCAGCTCTACTGCTATTTGTGTCTCATCGGCTGTGATGGGATTTCCCTGATTGCGTGGTTTAGCTGGCCTTGGATTGCTCTGCTCGGTCTCTGATCGGCGATGTGACGATGTCTGATCGAGATCCTCCTTGGAGTTGATATCTGGGTGGTCGTTCGTCGGGTCAAGTGACTTTCTATTTTCAGAGGGTGCGAGCGTCGATTCTGGAGCCCATGCATCCTGTTCATTGGCCCTCAGGTCGACGCCACTAGCTGCACTATTGGCCGAAGGCGATTTGGAAGCTTCGCTGTTTTGGATCTCCAAGGAGTCATTAGAAAATAATGATAACGCGGGCGAACCAGCGGAATCATTATTTTCTGAGGTCCTCGTAGCGTCGCCAAAACTGGGACGGACTTTGGACAAACTGGTTCGACTGGGAGCAATGGGGGCTGGGATTTCGTCATTCGCTTCGGAAAGAGAAAGATTTGACCGGTGTTGAAACTGGATCTCGGCGGTGGCAATTGGTCTTTTATTGTTGGCAGCGCCTCCAAATACCCCGGTCACCCCGTCAAAGACAGCTTTGCCACCTCCTGCCATTCCCTTGGGTGCATTTGTTAGCGCACCCAGCATACCCTTGCCCATGTTCTCAAATGCAGCCTGACTGGGGAAAGAAAACCCCGGCTTTTTGGAATCCGCTTCACTAGATCCCGCATCCTTTTCCAAGAATCGGCGCATTCGATCTGTCTCAGCAAGAGCTTCATGTTTCATAGCATCATGTAGATATCCTTCTAGGTCCCGAGCGAGAGTTTGTCTTGTTTTTCCTTTCCAAGAGGGTAACACGGGGTACCGATCCGAGAAACTTTGAATCCGGTTCAATCGTGAAACAGTCTCCAGCATCTCATGAAGGGACTGGAAGTCCGCATACTTCCGGAAAACCATCCATCCAGTCGAGCGTGTTGACGCTGGCTCAACCTGCAGTAGATAATCCCACGTGGGCCGTGACTTGATTTGGCCTTTTTCATTCCTCGATCCATCATCATCTACCAAGACTTGTGCGCCATGAAGAATCAAAGGCACAGATTCATTTTCCTGCGCACTGGACCGAGGCGAATGGGGAGTGCTCTCAGACATTTCTGGATTTGCGGGTGGCTGTGACCTCAACAATGGATCTGTGAGAGTTTCCCCTTGGTCCTGATTGTTTTCAATGTTATGGGTTGCATTTAAATCTGATTCAGTACTCGAAAAAGATCCAACGGTTTCCCGTGTTGGTTCTGGGCTTCGTATATCCTGCGATGCAATCATGGCACTGAGACGTTTTGCCTCGAGAACCGCCTCTTCTGTCGCTCTATCCGCCTGCATAGATTGTCTCTGATGGGTTTGAGAGATTGGGTTCAAAATCGCCTCCGGGGGTAAAGCATCCGAACATTTGGGGGAACGGGCGCCCTGATTTCGTGCGCCTTCAACGCCTGCATCAATGGCGTGCATAATCTCAGATTCACCATCTTGCAGAAGATAGATAATCCAGTCATTGATAAACTCGGGACGGGCGAGACTGGTCACCGTAGACTCCAATATAACACCCGCAAAAATCTCGCGGAGAAAATCCCGCACAGCTGGACAATCGTATGCCTTGGAATCCAGGAAGTTTGACAATATATCGTCCGCAATCATGTTGAGTTTCTTATGTTGCTGTTTCTGGGACAAGACATTGGCTAGGCTGCTGTCCGGAAATTGTTCAAGGTACCGGTCCACCGTTTTCTGAGCCTCCATAGGGTAGGAGTCCCCAGCGGCAAATGCTGCAGCGAGTTCATTAAGGAATACAATGACAATAGATGAAGAGTTGGTCAGGAACTGCAAGAAAGTATCCTCTGTCCGTTTCCGTGACAGGTGCAGTGAAACAGACGTAACAAAATGGGTCAAGATTCTTCGGCATGTACCTGGGAAAGTTGATTCGGAAGGTAATATTGGTTCGTACCAATATCTTTGTTTTAGGTAAGCTACTGGGATTCTCGTGGAAGGGAAGGGACCCAAGCTTACTGAACATAGTCCCTTATGACTGCATCCGTCAGCGTTTTCAGCGCACTCGCGGTGGCGGGTTGAAATGTGGCATAATCAAGGTCTGCCGGGGACAGATCCTCAGGTACACTCATAGACCCATCATTGTCGCCTTGGGCTAGCGAAGCACCGTCCCGCTTCGGCCAGTCCAGAAGTCTGCTGGATACCTCTAGCGCAAGCTCTCTTCTCCTGTTTGGTGCACGCGATCCTTCTGAGACTGAGTCTGGTCCGTCCCACGATGCGTGAAGGACCACCCCTAGCACAATACCAATGAGGACGAGTCCAATTCGCCCCAGAACAACGTAGGTGACAAGTATAAGGAGAGCGAAGACACCCAGGAGGGTTTCATTGCTAGAGGTTGAGAGAAAGTTGAGAGCGAAATTGACGAGTTCCTTCGTAGAAGCCGTATTTGAGATATGTTCGGACGTATCGAGTTTCGCGGGGATTGCGTCGGTCGATGGGGCTACATCAAGTTTGGAGTTGCCCACATCATCGCTGAGGCGACTCATTGTGCTGGAATATGTCAGCGAGTATTCAGAGCTATCCAAAGAGACACAAACCTCTCATGTTCAGCGAGGTTTATAGATGGAGGTGGAAGCTAAGGGAGCAAATCCTTGGCACTACCCCGTGTGGCCAGTGCGAGAACAGAAATAGAACGAACAGCCGAACATCGTAATCGTATAATTTATATTGCTTCTAATATATGTATCCATTCATCATTTCCTTGCGATCATGAGTTCGCGAGGAATCTAAAGCAAACAGAAAGGAGTTGATCTCCGCTATCCGAGTGAATCCGAGCATTCATAGAACATGTGCTTCATGCCAGACGTAAAGAGATTGCGGCTAAAGGGGGGAATTACTACAAGGGATCTACTTAAAAATGCTCATCCAGGTCTGCTTCGGTCTTTTTGGAGATTGTCACCGTCGTGAAAGCGAGGGCTTTCCCCACCGCATTGGCTTGGCCTTCAATCTTGAGGTAATTCACATGAGTACCGGGCGTTCTCCAGTGAAGCTGGGTCCCTGCGAGGCAATGGACAGCTCTCTAACCTAGTCAGTGACACAAGCGGAAAAAAGCTCGACGTTGTCCTAGGAATTGAGCTGGCGACGGCTGACTTGCGGGCTCGGATCACACCCTTTTCGGCATTATGAACTTCAACCTCGTTAAGAAGAAATTCATAGACGAAGCTGTTAGGGCGAGTGCACTCTCTGACCCTCTGAGCCCGCTTAGTTCAGTGCGCTTGGTGAAAATAAAATAAAATAAAATAAAAGAGTAAGGAGCGAGGTATGAAAGGGAAAGAAAGAGAGAATTTGAACGGGAAAATGCTGTGCTCACCTAACCGACCACGCTAGTCCCAAATAGGCTCGCTTGCATCTACCTCGGGGATCTTTGGTCTCTTGATATTAGGTATTTTATGAGTTATTGAACTTCGTAGATAATTTCTAATCGCGAGATCTCATACCTCTACCTCCCCGTTTTTCTGTGTCGAAATCGTCTAGAAAGCATTTGAGAAAGCATAAAGTGATTGACATCCTCGTCCCCCCAGTAGGTGAGATGACTGGCAATACTGGCAATCAGCGAGATATCAAATGCCCCCCTGTTATAAGCATTGTTTAGTTTGTGTCAGAATATGGGAATGAAATCTCTTACTCTTGCACGCTGTAGTCAACACGACCGTTGGCATTCAAAGCGCGCACTTTGGCATCTTCAAATTTCAGTTTTCGCTCCTGATCTTCAGTATCGGTATCAGGATCGGTTGATGACGCCTGTGATTTTCGATCACTCCTGCTTTTCTGGAATCCATCGTAGAGGGTTTCCAGATCAGACTCAATCAATGTTTGATAATGGTCGTCTGATTCGTGTGGGCCATGTTGAACTGAGCCAGACTGTGTCCTTCTATGGGATTTGTCATCGCTTTGCTTTCCAATGGCACCACCAGCTGACGGATCGTCGCCGTTCAGGCCCAAACTGCGGTTCAACAAGCTGCTTGCAACACCCGAGGTGAAATTTGTCCATAGGGAGCCCACACTTTGGCCCATTCGAGTACCAAGAATAGATAAGCTTTGCCCGGAGGTTGTCCAAAGGCTCTTTTTGACCGATGGTAGAGGCTGAGGTTTTAGAGTTGCCATCGCTGGAGATATTAGAGGCTCAATTCGGTAGCTCACCGGGTCAGAAGGGTGAAAGATGTTGTAAAGATCTCGACATTTCGGTGCTGAAACAATAGCAGGGTTCTCCTTGAACCCAAGCCCAGCACTGGGGAGCGAATCCCTTTTTGAAGACCTCAATCCCTCGGCGTCAATTTCAACATCCAAAGCATTCTTCCGGTTCCGAGGAGCTAAAGCAGAGTATCCTCCTATCGTTTTGCCCTTTAACATTTGAAAGAGGGCAATGGGAGATCCCAAGCAGAAGAATTCTTCAGTTTCAAACTCGAATGCACTCGTTCCACAAAGATGGTTTGATGCATCGGTCTCTTGGGCCTTTGGTGTTTCTCGCTTTGCAGGGTCGGCCACCTCGCCTGGTTGATGACACAGGATATCAAACAGGATCGCACTCCCTAGCGAATGACCACAGAGGCTGACTGACCCATTGAAAGAAGGGTTCCGCTGCTTGTAAAGCCGGATGATTCGGTTGCATTCCTGTTTAACAATATTGGAGATATGCTCACAATATCGGCTCTGGTAAAGGAGCACATCCATTGCCAAGTCTGAAATGAGATTTCGGACAGCAGGTACACTTTCTAGTGTGATATCTGACAGGCTTGGGTAAGCATCATCTTCGAGTGTGTCCGCGTCGGTAAGATCTTGTTCTTTTCTGTTCTGCCGAACTCCCCTATAAGGAAAGTCAAGCCTGTGTCGCCAGCACCTGGATGCTTGTTAGCATGTGATGTATGGATGAGCGCCAAAAAAGGAAAGAATATTTGAATAGCAGCCATTGACTTTAAGGCTGACCCGACTAAGAATTTCGGCTTTCGATATGGTCAAAGAGGAGATAGAGCCACTCACACAGGAAGAACCTGAACACGGCAATTCTTATCACTGTCAGGCAACGCAGAGTTTAATGCCTGAAGGTCAGGCGAAGCTTTGTAGACAGTCTTCAGTGTCTTGCGAAGCACATTCACATCATGTATGAAGTTAATGCTCTCAAGTCGCAACCCGAGCCGCTGGCCAATTCCATGGGTGACAAGGACCAAATGGTCAACCTCACGCTCTCTGTCCTCATTGTCAACTTCCCTCGAATCCTCCATCTCTTGTTCTTCCTGCTTGCGAGCTTGCTCCTCAAGTTCAGCAGGGTTCTGCGGTTCACCGGCAAGGGACGACATTTGCCGTTCCAAGGTAGACTTCGGTCTTCTTTCGAAATTCTTGGCTCCTTCGACTGATTCCTCAGGCGACACTTTCAGTATGTCTGATTTATTCTTTTCGGGGTTCACTCCAAAATTTTCGTTGGACTTTGGAACAGAGGATATCTTCTCGGATTTTCGGTCGGAAGTCTTGTCTGTTTCCTTTGACTTCTTGGGCTCGAAGCCACGCACCAACTTCACCCCCGGGACACCTCCTAGTTTCTGATAGACGGTAGTGCTGAATCGTGACATCATATCATCATTTATCAGCCAGGCAGTCGAAGAATCTTGATAGGAAACAATCTTGTTCATATAAGCACCAAACAAACGATATTGTTGGGGCTCTGCCGCGGACTGGCTGGGATCATTTCCTATGCCCTTGGTGGTAGAGGCTGGGTTGGCTGACCGAGGGGATTGGGCGGTAATCTGCACATCCTCTTGTCGAATAGAAAGATCTTGTTCAATTATTTTGGAAGCCTGATCCGGCGTCTCGGACTTGATTGGCTCAGTCTTCCACGGACGAAGTTTGATATAGCCTTCTTCAAGCTGTGTAGCAAGATTCTCTTCACATGGTTTTAATCCAGACCCATCTTGGATGAACCATGTTCCACGACGAACTTCGTAAACAGGGCCAATCCAATAGGTGGGACTCAATTCTCGCTGTTCCACATCCACATCGAATAGATAATCCTCGTTCACAGGAACTTTGGTCGAGACAGGCTGTGTGGATTGCTCGGCCTGACCTTCCTGGGCGTCTTCGATTTCCGATAGTTTCTGGAAGGTGATTTCAATAGACTGTGAATCTTTTCCAGGGAAAGGAATGAACTTCTTCGGCAATGGCAAGGGCTTCTGGTCGGTCTTTTTTTGCTCTAGCAGTGATGGCTTTCGTTTGGGCGAGTCCACTGCGTAGAACCACCTCACTTTCAATGGAGGGCAATCAGGAGGATAACGACGCAGGCTTAACCGATGCCTATGGGTCACTGTATGGTCCTCTCCTTGGGACCGCTGCAGGACCTCAGAGCCCTGACGATCGGGTTGCGGCGTTGTGCTCCTTGGGGTACTCCATGGGGATAGTGTCCCCAGGAATGACTTCTGCTCCATGGGGAGGCACACCCGGGCAGTGAATCGAATCAACGTGGATAATGAGATGGAAACGTTAGTAAGGTGTTCCAGGCCAAGATGTAAAGAGGATCTGTGAAAGTTGATCTTTGTTTTGATGATCCGCATGATGTAATCCGGAACACACCAATTATTCCTCCGTGCACGTTCTAGAATTCCAATGATATGAGGCTACAGTACTTGATACTCTGTACATCTTAGCCCGTAAATATAAGCTATTAATAAACGAGCAGATACTCTCTCTATCTCTCCATCTCTCCATCAATCACCTCCAATATCTTCCAAGGTAGACAAGTAAGAATCCTGGAGCCTGGGGGTAGAAAAAAAGAAAGAAATAGAGCATAGAAAGAAAGAAAACAGAGAGAGAAAAGAACAGAAAGGAAGCCTAGAGGCCTGGAAGCCTGAAGATGTTCGACGTCATTGGCCATTACGAATACGAGACCGGGAAAGATACTTGGGCCGCAATACAATAATACTAGTAGCGCCATGTACTGCTTGATTACCTTTCATTACGCGTTACAGTGTGGCTCATCTCACCTTCCCCCCGCCTCCCTCGGTTCGTGTATACCTTGGCCTTTGCTCCCTATTTCTTTGCCCAATTCTCTTCTCCGGCTGTGATCTGGACTCTTCGGATCATTCCCATCTCTCCGATAGTTACGAAACCATTGTTCTGTTCTGGGAGTCTCCCTTTCTTCTGCCAAACCAAGTCCGGATCTGTGGGTTAACTCGTGGACCCCGCCACCTACTGAGACGCATTCTTTTACCAAGATGAATGCGCTCAAGCTTCAGAAGTAAGACTTGCCGTGCTCTATGTACCTCGCTCTGTGAGATATAACAACCTTGGAATATATGCTGACGAAGCGGGGTGTGCTTGCTACAGGCGATTCCCGCAGCTGGACCAGGGGGATATCTTCTCGCTCCAGGATGCATTCAACCGACTGGATGTTGATGACCGCGGCTATCTTGATGAATCCACTGCGATCAAAGCCGCCCAACAATCCGAACGTCAGCCGTACGACGTGGTGCGCCAAGCGCTAAAGGGTGTGGAACTCGACAGCTCCCGGCGCGTGGAGCTGGAAGACTATGTCGATGTAAGGAAACCCGTCTATGGTATGACCCTAAGAAACGAAAAAATGCTAAAGCTGCGATAGCTGGTTTCGAAGCTTCGGTCGGCACCCGCAGAGGGCGCCCGCGGCGTATCCAGCCCCGCGGCTGTGATCCAAGGAGCTGGCGCCGGTGCCGGCACTGGCGCCTCTCACCATGTCTCCAAGGGCAGCGTTGGTGGACGTATCCACGTTCAAGGATCATCTTCCAACGTTACACACACGATCAACGAGGACGAACGGACCGAGTTCACGCGACACATCAATGCTGTCCTTGCGGGAGACCCGGATATTGGCAACCTCCTGCCTTTCCCTACCGATACATTTGAGATGTTTGACAAGTGCAAGGATGGTTTAGTTCTGGCAAAGTTGATCAACGACAGCGTGCCGGACACCATTGATGAGCGTGTTTTAAACAAGGCTGGAAAGAAGATCAAGCAACTGAATGCCTTCCACATGACTGAAAACAACAATATCGTCATCAACTCCGCCAAGGGAATTGGGTGCTCAGTTGTAAACATTGGAAGTGGAGATATCATCGAAGTGCGCGAGCATTTGATTTTGGGTCTTATTTGGCAGGTCATTCGCCGTGGTCTTCTTGGAAAGATTGATATCAAGCTTCACCCGGAGCTTTACAGGCTTTTGGAGGAGGACGAGACCCTCGAGCAGTTCCTGCGCTTGCCCCCAGAACAGATTCTCCTTCGCTGGTTCAACTATCACCTCAAGAACGCGAAATGGGACAGACGGTAAGCTAACATCGGCTTAGCCGTATATCAGGCGAGAAAGAACACGCAGCTAATACCTTTCAATCTAGCGTGACAAACTTCTCTACTGACGTGAAGGACGGCGAAAATTACACTGTTCTCCTCAACCAACTGGCTCCTGATGTCTGCTCTCGTGGCGCTCTCCAGACTCGAGACTTACTCGAGCGGGCTGAGCAGGTCCTTCAGAACGCGGAAAAGCTTGATTGCCGAAAGTTCCTTACTCCGACCTCGTTGGTTGCTGGAAACCCCAAGTTGAATCTTGCCTTCGTTGCCAACCTATTCAACACTCACCCTGGTCTGGATCCGATCACCGAAGAGGAGAAGCTCGAGGTTGAGGACTTTGACGCTGAAGGTGAACGAGAGGCAAGAGTCTTCACTCTCTGGTTGAACTCTTTGGATGTGCAGCCGGCGGTCAACTCGCTGTTTGACGACCTTCGTGATGGCTCTATCCTGCTGCAGGCGTACGACAAGGTTATTCCTGGAACTGTCAACTGGAGACATGTGAATAAACCCCCAGCCTCTGGTGGGGAGATGATGCGATTCAAGGCGGTGGAAAACACCAACTACTCGATTGAGCTTGGGAAACACAATGGGTTCTCTCTTGTTGGTGTCCAAGGCGCTGATATTACTGATGGCCAGCGAACTCTCACACTTGGCTTGGTGTGGCAGCTGATGCGTCGTGATATCACTAACACACTCTCTGCGCTGGCCCAACGGTTGGGCAAGCGTGAAATCACCGACACCGAGATGATTCGCTGGGCCAACGACATGTCTAGCAGCGGCGGAAAGTCTTCAACGATAAGAAGCTTCAAGGACAAGTCCATTGGAACTGGAATCTTCCTCTTGGACGTACTCAATGGCATGAAGAGCAGCTATGTGGACTATGATCTGGTGACCCCCGGCCGTACCGATGAGGAGGCCTATGCCAACGCCAAACTTTCTATCAGTATTGCCAGAAAGATGGGCGCCACCATCTGGCTGGTTCCCGAGGATATTTGTCAAGTCCGGTCTCGTTTGGTCACCACTTTCATTGGTAAGACCTCATATACCCCTTTGACTGGTATTGGTTCGGATTCTGACATTTTATACAGGCTCCCTCATGGCCACCCACGAGAAAATGTAAGGCGACCTCATTCTTCAATCAATAGCGGCAATGCAATTATTTATCATGGCTCGCTCGGGATTTGGCATAGATTCCCGCAGCATTGCGTGCCTTGCTTCCTGGCTATTCCTGTTTCTCCTTCCGCTCCTGTCTATTCTCAAATACATGTAAATCTTCTACTCAAACGAGACAAATCAAAGGTGTGCCTCGAGTCTAAAATCAATGGTTTTATTGTTACCAAAGTTCATTGTACAATCGTCAAAGCTGTAAATGACTGTCATGATCTAGAGATATTGATTAAACCAAGCAGTGGCTTGCATGAAAGCAGCTTCCTTGGCAAAACGGATTGTTGGTTTGGTGATGTCTCCACGGACAGCGAAACCATGCTCAACACCACTGAATAAGTTGATCTGATATGGCTGGCCGGTTTTGAGCAGAATTTCCTCAGATTCATGGCGCTTCGAGGTCGGGAAGATTGAATCGGTCTCTGCAATTCCAGTAAGCTTAGTCTGATCTGCTACAATAACCCATTCACATCACACTCACCCGCAGCAGCAATAGAGAGAGGGCCCTTGATTGCCTGGAGCTCTTCTGCCTCGACAAAACTGGGGTGAGCAATATAGGCAACATCACAAAGACCAGGCTGAAGCAGTCGGACGGCATACTTTGCCTGTATAACTCGTGTGTCAGCTGGGCATCAGACCTAGGGCAAAGAAATCATACCCCGAAGCAATATCCGATAGCACCGACTCGTTTACAGCCCAAGTTGGACTTCATTTCCTTCAAAACTGCCTGTATCACGGGTTCCACGCGGTTAGGTAGATGGCCAGGGGGACCCTTCAGCCAGGCCATCAGATCGAAACCAGCCGGGCGGTTCAACAGCACCGGATCGCCGTGGAACAGGTCCGGCATGACGACAAAGTAGCCATTTGCTGCCAGCTGATCTGCAATCAACTGGGCATTAATGAACCGATGGCCGATCACATCGGTGAGTAGCAGAATAGCACGCTGGGTAGAACGATCTGCGGGGTGTGAGATGTAGACCTCGACTGCGACAGTTAGCGGTTGAGATTGGGTTGCTCAAGCAGAGGTGTATACCATCGCCGATTTGTTGGAATCCGCCCTTGGCCTCGCCTTCATGCTTGACGCCAACAGTGCAACAGGAAGCTGGTGGGTTAGAAGTCATTTTGAATGTGACTGTATAAGTAGAGGACAGTAGTTGGAAGAGAGAGAGAGAGTTATAATATCAAAAGTGGGGAAAGGCGGGGGATGCGGGTGGTCCCGTACAGGACTGATGCGGCTCTGAGAACGTGCAATGCGTATATTTGTTTCGATGGTATCTCTACCTGGCTATTTGGCTTGGGAGCTACTCGATATCAACATTACACGGGTTAGCGGTTTAAGTCTTAGGTTATACTCTGTATATAGATCTATCTCTTATAGATACGGAACGAAAGAGGTATATATACAATGAAGATATATAAACAACCAATGAATTCAACGTCACTCGTATTAATACATTCTCGATCAATGATACCATGTCAACGTCGACTAGTAGAACAGATTCAAAGCCAATTGCCAGGGTGAGAACTGCGGCATGCTCTAATGAAAATCATATAATCAGGTACAAGCTGCACAAAAGACTCGGTCCCGTAAAGATTCCCAGCCAAAAAAAAATGTTTCCCACCAACCGCCGGTCTCGCATCATACGAGTCCGGCTGAGTGAGACAAGTGGCAGTTGCGACATTTGGAGAATTAGCAGATATCCCCGAAGTCGTCGAAAAATACACAGCATGATCAGTTCATGCACACACGCAGATAGGAAAAATGTGATCAGACTCGCAGAAACTCGCGACAGACGGTAGGCGCTGATAGAGCTGTGGTATACATGCCGGAGCAAGAAGTGATGGACAGGGCGGTTCCAATCTCGTGCAAACTGATCCCAAGAGACCGAGTTCCACCAATCTGCATAGAATCCCCTGTCAGCAAACATGGTGATTTCAGCTAAAGCGTTAAGCTATGGCTGTCAGCAAAAGGTCGTGTCTATAAGCTCGGTAGTACCTACAACACACTCCCAAATCACATAGAATGCCAGCAGATACTCCATCATGAAAGGGAAGAGTAAGTCGCTCAGAACCCAGGGGAATTCCTGGAGTCTCTGCTGCACCGTCAACCCTTCCTCTTTCATTCGCACAGTGGACATCACCACAGGATATATCCACGACTGAGAGACAGCAATCATGACCACAATGATGCCGAATGTGGCCGCGGTCTTCTCTGCCACATAAACCCAATCAATCTTGTCTGTGCGCGGGTATTCTAGCTCATATACCAACGTGGGCAATGTGATAAAGTCGCAGAAGTTCTTCAACGTCAAATTCTGCGGATAGTAATTGGATGTCAATGAACACCTGCCTTGTAGTCCCTCGGATAGGACTTCGAATTCCCGCTCTAGCAGCTCTTTCAGGGATTTCACCTGATCTGGTTGAAGAGATACCCCGTGCTCGGTGGTTTCGACGAGAGATATGAGCTGGTCGGTCTCGCAGGCACGGGAATAGTTCTTGAGGTTGGAGGACCGCCGCCGGAAATCATTTCTTTTGAGATCAGTGATTTCGGCATCAACATCTGTATCAACGGCAGAGGTATGCGCCTCTCCCACAAAATCGTTGTTTCTGCTTAGATTCTTCAACTGGGAGAGACTTGTCTTCAGCATCTCTCGTTTCCGGTACAACTCCGACACTATTCTCGTTAAGTCAGATCCAGTCACCGGCAACTTCTTCGTTTCTACTTACGGTACCCGTTGTAAGCAGCATAACTATGCTGTTTCATCAGCATGGTCAAGCAATGCAGCACTGTAAAGACAGTGTGAGTCCATGGCCAATCCCGATGATATGTCCACCATGTAATGGAAGCTAAATATGTCGTCTGCCAGATCTGACAGATCACCAAGTTAGAAAAGAAGCACCCGAAGGTAACTTATACTATGAAGCGTACATTTTGGATCAGCCAACCAGAACCACTCCAGCGCAGGTACCCTTTGAATACCGCTCGCTGGACCACCAGACAGAATATTGTAGACCAACATAAGACCAAGTCTGTCAGTCCGAGGACGAAGACGTCCTTAGCGAACATGAGGCGAATAATCTCGTTCTTGCCCCAAATGGTGCCATGTATTCTCCAGTTGTTGGCCACAACCTTGAGTAGCATCAGGGCCACCCCCATCCAGAAGAGCACAAAGAAGCCATGAAACTCAGATGAACTGAAGGTCAAACTCTGGCGGTCAAAGGTACTGAGTTGTCTTGTAAATTCCAAGTCTCGGAACCTGAAGGGTGGTTTCTGAGATGATCCTGACTTTTCAAAGGAAAGGTTATGTTTGAGGATCTCCCGTAAGAGCCCAGCGTCCTCTGCGGTGAGCAGATATTGACCAGCATTGTCAGTCTCCCGAAGCTTTACCGAGACAATTTGTCGAGTGGAATCAACGAGGTCATCCGAGCTTGAAGAGAGAGAGCTGGGCGACCTTGGGGCTGAAGCAAGTTGTCCATTCAAATCGGTTGTGCTCATGATGGATGTGCGCATAAAAAGAGGTTTTAGATGTCTTCACATCATTCGGGTGGTTCGGATGTTCAGCCCTAGTGGCAAAACAGTAAACATATGACGTGGAGAGCTGTGGAGAATAAATTTGGTTGTATACTTCGGCTTGTATTGAAGGGCCAAGTTGCCCTCTTTGTGACGGTTCAAAGTATTTCAAGTGCATTTTTGGGATTCAATTTATTCAAAGACCCAAGAGCCAAAAGTACTAAAATAGTCAAAACTTCTCGATTTTTATGCGGCCAGGTCACGTATGTGGTGAGCCCCACAGCCAGTGGCTTCTCCGTCTGAGCTCTCTTGGCCCCTTAGACTTACCTTCACCCATTGCGGATTTTAATTTTATTATGGACATGCATACAACGCCCCAGGTGCAAATTCCCGGCGATTAACGTCTGAATCCGCCCACCTTCCCGCGACTGCGCCGGCGCCTGCAAACCACAATTCCACCGAAGTGGAGATGGGAGGAACCCAGGATGCGACCTTCCGGGATGCTCAAGGGCTTGAGCTTGAGCTTCAGCTTCCTCGAGTAAGCGCATTCCTTGTCCCATTCCACCGTCCACTTGCTTCAAGCTCAATGGGGCCAACCACTGTGTCTAGTCGCTTGGATTGACCTCTGCTCCTCCCTGCAGCTTCTTGACCTCCCCAGTTGTTGAGATTGTGGTCGGAGAAGGCGGCAATCAGACGGTTTTAACTGCCCACCAAACCCTCCTCCTGGAATCGCCGTTGCTCGCGACATTGGTAGAAAAGTTTGAAGTATCGGGACCAGTGAGTCGATAATCTAGCTCATTCGGCTAGAAATTGATACTTTGGTCTATAGCGACGGATCAAACTACCGGAAGAGGACGTCGATGCTTTCGGTTTGTTTTTTACATTTCCAATACACGCGCGATTACAGCGTCCACAGCACGAGTCTTCCACAGACCCTGCAGTAGGTGATGGCTCCAAGAATTTGCTCCGCCATGCGCGAGTCTACACATTGGCCGACAAGCTGGGGCTGCAAGCATTGAAGAGTCTTGCCCATAGCAAGATCCATAAGGTCAAGAGCTCGTCCCATGCAGAGTATCTGTATGCTCGCTATGTCTACACCAATATCCCCGCCCCAGACACAACGATTCGAAAGCCAGTTGCCTCCTACTGGGCCAGCCACAGCCATACATTACGCCGTGAAATTGATGATGACTTCAAGAAACTCTGTATTGAGGTGCCGGAATTCTCTTTCGATGTCTTGACTATAATCCTGGACCGGAAGGATAAGCAGATACCGTCCGACGAGATCAAGGGGAGTGCGCGCAAGCGCAGAAGTGATCTATGATGGGGCTCCGGGCTCACGCAACCTGCATACCCAAAAGCTTCCTGTACCTGACTTCTGACTGGGCCTTTTTGTCCCTATAAATCAAACATCAACGAGCATTTCAGATCTAAGGCCATTTCATGAGATATTAGCCATGCTTTGCTTATAATAAACTGCTCAAAATATATGCTTTATCTACATGGCCAGGCTCTCAACCTCTTCGATAATCTTCGGGGCTGTTGTCAGATTCTCCGAACCATCCTTGGTGATGTGGATGTTGTCCTCAATGCGCACTCCTCCCACGCTCCAGTACCGCTCCAGTACCTCGGTATCAATGTATTTGCCAGTCTCTGGGGCCTTCAGAACAGGGTCAATGATGAAACGGCAGAAATAGATCTAGTAAAACGAATTAGTTTCGACAGAGCAAAGATGGGATGGTATAATCTTACGCCGGGCTCAACGGTGATCACGGAGCCAGCTGGAAGGTTGGCGCGGACACGCAGGTAGCGGAACATGGTGTCCTTATCATCATATTTGGGGTTACCACCGGTATCATGGGTGTCCATTCCAAGGTAATGGCCGAGGCCGTGAGGGAAGAAAGCCACGCTGACACGCTTCTCGAATAATTCTTCCTCGGATCCACGCAGGATGCCTAGCTTCAACAGGCCACGGATAGCAATGCGATGCGCTAAGGCGTGGACATCATCCCAGCACACGCCTTCCTTCAGCATCGCAATACATTCAGTCTGCATCTGGAGGACAATCTCGTAGATTTGGCGGGTCTCTGGCGCGAATCGGCCACCCAGAGGAATGACACGAGTGATATCGGCACAGTAGGTCTGATATTCGCCACCAGCATCGATGAGGACATTGTTCTTCCGCTTGCCAGTGGCAGGGTCGACAAGGTCAACGTCGTTTCTGACGTAGTGGAGGGTGGCACCGCCCTCACCGCCGGCGACGATAGGGTGGTAGGATTGCTCACGGCACCCATTGGCAATGCAAGCACCGATAATTGCAGCCTCGATCTCGCGCTCGTTGGTTGCGGTCTTGGCGGCCTTAATGGCGGCAATGTGTGCCTTGGCCGAGATATCGTTCGCCTTTCTCAGGAGAGCAACCTCGTAGGCATCCTTGACGACACGAGTATCCTCAATGGTAGACTTCAAGGTGGAAATGTTGATTTCCGCGAAGCCTTCGAATTTAGTTTCCCCTGACACCTGCTCGGCAATTGCGAACGCAGTAGTTTGTCCATTGTGGGTCGAGGCGATCGACGCCAGGGTCGAGTTGACATCGGTCGTAAAGAGAACGCGATCCACGTCGTAAAGCTTAGCAGCCTCCTCGGGAGACAGCGGGAGACCAGACCAAATAACCGACTCGGGATCGATTGGAGGAATGAACAGGGTCAACTGGTCTGCGACGGCATCGTAGACCACGGCGGCATCAGGCAAAAGACATCCAGTGAGATAGAAGAAAGGACGACGTTGGCTATGAGTGTGTCAGTCACGTAAAGAGCCTCAGGGCTGCTAAACAATACCGGAAGGGCATAGCCTCGTCACTGTCCTCGATCAAACGAGTTTTTTGAGCCTCGAGGTAGATGGCACCGGCCCCGCCGTGCCGGACCTTGATAGACTCGGCGACACGGCGCGCATGGGCTTTAGCCGGATACTTGGCGGCGAGCATGGTGTCCACAGTGGTCATCTTGAAGGGTAGTTGAGATAGAGAAAAGAGAAGACGCGGGGGCAGAAACAATGTAGTATTTACTCAATCGGCTATTGCGGGGCCTAACAACGGCTACGTTCGGTAAGAAAGAAAATAAAAGAGCTTCGTTACACGTCAAAACGAGGACTATCGCGATGGACTGCCTAGCGTCTCAGAGGCCGACACATCTTCAAACTCCATCTCCCATTGATCAACCTCTGCAAATTTCTTGACTGCCGCGCGCAACTCATCGCTTACGCAACGAGGCGTGGGCTCTGTTCCAGCAGACTCATTATCAGACACGTCGGAATCAGGCGGTGATGACAGGGGCGAGGAGGACGGTGACGATAGAGCGAGCATTTCGTTTTCCTTTTCCTTTTCGACACCTATGCTGCCGCGAGACCGCGAGTATGTTGTAGGCGCCTTGCGGGCTGCTTGGGATTTGACTGGCTTCTCCTTTGCATCCCACTGCCTCGGATTGTTGAGTCTTGACTTATCCTGTGCATTGGCCATTGGCTTGGGTTTTCTGGAGCTTGCCTTTCGCCTGGATGGCCGCCTTGATGGGTAGCTCAGTTCGTCTTCATCGCCAGATGCGGCATCGTGTTGGTCATCACTTTCGTCACTAGGGACGTCAAAGTCGTCGCCAGCTCTGTTCTTGCGTCGGCGGCGTCTAGGCAAAAGCTTGTCTTGTAAACTCGCCGTCGATAGATGAGTTGGGGCCTTGGACTTCTTTCTGGCGGCAGGCTGCGACGCAGTGGGTGTAGAGTCACCAGTCACTGCAGCGGAGCCAGCAGGACTTCGCATGGGACTACTGGTGGGCGGTAGCATAGTCTGGCTGAAGATTTCTGGGTATTGTTGAGACTGCTGCGTATCCTCGACTCGCTCAACTTCCTCATCTTCCTCATCTTGCTCAGGTACCTCGGCCTCAGCTTCCTCAGCTTCCTCAGCTTCATGCGTTAAAGAGTTGTCGAGCTGGATCGGTGTTGCAGTTGGAGTATCTTTCACCACATTGATAGGCGATTGTATAGGTGATTGTGGCACCTGTATCTCTTGGGTCATGCGCTTGCGCTTGCGCGACCCCTCGGGCGAGGAAAGCGGGGATTCGGATCGTGATGGCGAGTCTTCGGAAGGTTTAATCAGAAGTGATTTTCCCCTGGAAAGGTTGAGCGGCGTAGATTCATCGTCAGGGCTGAGACCACCAAGGAAGTCATCGTCGTCCAATTCGGAAGAGCCATCTTCAGCTTGCATCATCTGCAGGATACTCTGCTGTCGCGGTCGCCGTCTGAAGTTACTTAGAACTGAGCTTTCGAAGCCAGGTGTGCCGGGAATTCGGGAGCTTGTGTCGCCTTTGCGCCCAGCAAAGGATAGTGTCGAGGAATAACCGCGCGACCTCGTAGGAGGGCGACTCCCAGTCCCAGGTCGACTGCCTGTGCCTGCTCGGTCCCCGGTGGGAGAAGACTCAATTGCTTGTTCATAACTCTTGGTCAAGGGCGTTTGGCTGCATAATGCCTGTCGTGGATCCAGGACCGAGCCGCGCTCAAGTTGCGCAGGCGATTTGGATACAGGGTCATTTTGTTGAGTCGGTTCTTCTGCCGCATTTCTGACTGGCTGGCCTTTTGTGCGGCTTCGTTTCGGGGCAGGGCGCGGCATGATTTATGATTAGATGTCGAGTAAAGAAGAAAGTGCCGTGAAGTTAAGGGAGAGATCGACGCGTTGTTTGGGACGCGTGCACGTGGATCAACTTCCTTTCTACTACGACTAAAGTTAACTTGCGACATGCAATTTACAGTCTACAACTTAGCACTTATTGCTTTGTCCCTTTCCTAGTCTTGTCGATTGTTTTTCTTTTCTTCCCATGCCACCACATTGGGCATGCCTGTCCCGTCACGGAACCGCTCCGCGTCGAGTTAGGCGAGCTATCTTAGACATTTCGTGAAAGCAGCCCTACGCATTCATTAATGCCCGGCTCAATCCCCAGTAGCATTGGCATCTTATCTTTTAAAACTTTGCTCTGCCTTCTCGCCCTTCTTACAATATTTGCCCTTTTCCTACTCTAGCCTTTGTATTGTTCACTATGGTCTGATGCTCACAGTCAACCACCCCGCCATATCGGTTTGGAGTGGTATGAACATTGGACTGCATTCTAAGACACAAAGGAAATTGTCCAAGGTTTTCCATCATGGAAATGCCCCCAGAGAAAGAGCCAGACCTTGCTGCAGACTTTACAGCCAGTGATACTTCCCTGGGCAAGAAAAAGCGCTCCAATTCCGAGGCTGCTGAATATCCCCGACGACGGGCAACAATAGCTGTAAGCGCCTTTGACATTGTGGGAGACAAGGCAGATTGACTGAATTGGTGCAATGTAGTGTCAAATATGCCGGCTGCGCAAGACTCGGTGCAACGGGGCTCGTCCCAAGTGTCAACTCTGCTCCGATTTGAACGCAGAATGTGTGTACCGAGAACCTGGAATCAAACTAGATGCTGGTGACAAGCTCATTTTGGATCATCTGGCCAGAATCGAAGGACTACTGCATTCGAGTTTGGCAGGCCAAGGGTCTCACATGGTCTTGTCTTCGACTTCCCCGGCCACCAGCAACGATACCAATCTCGGCAGTGATGAAACTTTAGCCAGAGCATCTGGTGGATTGCCGGTGCCTGGTAGATTGTCCGCCGTTGGACTCGGGTCCTGGGTCAACCCACCGGCCAGTATAAGCATTTCCACGATGCCAAAGATGCATACCACTCCGGCTCTTCATCTTCTACAGTGGCCATTGATTCGGGACTTGGTATCCGTGGCCTATGATCCACAGCACCTACTACAGCTAGAGATGGCCCGCGAGCCACTGCGGATGACACCAAACTCAGGGTTCGATTTGACGAATGCGTCCACATATGCCCAGGCCTTTTTCAACCATGGCAACGTTTGGTACGCATGCGTGAACCCTTTTACTTGGAATCGATATTATCAGACTGCCCTCGCACAGGGATTCCAGGAGGGACCGATGAGCTGCCTTGTCTTGCTGGTCTTAGCCCTAGGAAGTGCCAGCCATAGTGGCAGTATCTCGTTCGTGCCACCAGATCGTGAACCACCGGGGCTGCCCTACTTCGCAGCTGCATGGAGCGTGTTACCATCAGTCATGATGCGAAACACCGTGTTCTCAACACAATGCATGGTCCTAGCGTCTGCATACTTATTCTACCTTGTGCGGCCTCTGGAAGCCTGGACCTTGCTATCGAATGTGAGCATGAAATTGCAACTATTATTTGGCAATCCCAACCGAATCCCTAACCAATGGAGGGAGTTGAGTGTCAGAGTGTATTGGAATGCCCTATTGTTTGAAAGTGACCTTCTCGCAGAGTTGGACCTTCCACATTCTGGTATCGTTCATTTCGAGGAACGGGTAGATCTCCCCGGGGGATTCGAAGATGAAGACGCAGAGGATGAAGATGACGAAGAAGATGGAGATATTGACCAAGGCAAAGAAAGCCGGACGACCAGATTCAGAGAGGAAGCTGCCGGGCGTGAGGAGCTTTGGTATTTTCTGGCAGAGATCGCGCTGCGAAGACTCCTCAATCGCGTCAGCCATATCATCTATCAGAAAGACTGCACCCATACTCTTTCATCCCTCGGCCCAATTGTCTCCGAGCTCGATTTCCAGCTGTCACAGTGGTACGAGAGCCTCCCCGGCCCGGTGCAGTTCCCTCTGACACAGGCACCTCTTTCCAACCCAGTCCAAACGGTACTGAGGCTTCGCTACAATGCATGTCGTACCATAATCTACCGTCCATATATCTTGGCTGTCTTTGAGAACGAACAGGCTGGAACGGATTCCGGGGTGAGGGAATGTTGCCGGCGATGTTTGGACGCAACCCTTCGCCAACTGGAGCACATCACCAGTCACCGCGAAGGCCACCTTCCATACCTATGGCAGGGTGCCCTATCAATCGTTTCACAGACCCTGTTGATCATGGGTGCCACTATGTCTCCTTCCCTCTCCACCCTGCTCCCACCTGGTCCAAGAATGGATTCCATCATAGCGAGTGTTGTAGGTGAGGTAGAGAGATATGCGCACCTAGCACCGAGTTTGAAACTTTCTGCTGAGATAATTCGAGACGCTGAGAGACGGCGACAGATCTGTCTTCGATCGGCCGGTTTGTGTCTCTGATTCTGCACTAAGGTTATACTGGGTCAATATGTATCATATGTTGTACATAACGGGAAGATGAGTCCCTGGTTCTTTCTCTAAATAACTCGTGTGGTTCGTGGATATGAAAGTTATCTGGGCACTAAAAGAATTGTAACTCGTCGGGTACGCATGGTATGCTTCTATTCATTTCACTATGTCAAAACAATCGGAATTCTGATAGACTGAACCAAAACAGGCGAACCAAATCAGCGATGATAGCAGAGTGAGGGAAACGGTCTATATGAGTAAGAGAAGAAACCAAACAGCAATACATACAATCCCCTTTCATGACAATTATGTTCTTAAATCATCAAATATTTCACGGGTAAACATCATGGTATCTCAAAGACATGAGGAGATCAATATGGACATCAGAAATATGGGCATGTAACAAGAAAACGCAGTAAACTCCAGGCATTGAATCGCCAAAGGGTGATTATCGTATGGCTTCATATACTTCCTAGACCAACACCCATTCGCTACCACGCTTAATGAACTTATCAAGCATCAAGCTCACATCAGCCAGTGCGAAACGGCAAATGTAAAAGCCAAAGAACTCGGCAGCATGTCGTGTGCTGAGCTCCAGGCCAACATGGGTAGGAGACGAGTGTTTGAGGCCAGGATCCTCAACCTGCTGGGCAATTTGCTCTGTTTGATATGTTAGCTTGAATGAACTTCAACACGCCGCAATAACTCTTACCAAGCACTTGGGCAGCATCGAAAAGCCGCGCCAATGCCCCCATATAGTTTGCGTTGGGCCCAGAGAACTCAAGCTGGGTGACATTGCGTTTTGCGTGTGTTCCCTGCACTGATGTCATAGGGACAGAGTTGAGGGTTAGATTGTCTTTATTACTTTCGCGTGCACTAGGTGTTGGAGTGGTTGTCCCCAACCCAGAGGTCTTTGCCCGAATTCTTTTCCATGTCAGGTATGATTTGTTAGGCGCACTTTCAACGTGAGCAGGCTCATCGGGCGTCGAAGCTGGCTTAAATAGTGGCATGGAGGCCTGTACACCAACCTCGTTACCAAGCTTTTTGGACAAAAAGCCCTGAACTTGGTCGAGAACACTTTCAAACGACTGCATCTCTTCTAAAACTGCGTCTGCGTCATATGTATCGACCTGGGCCAATTTGAGCAGAGCAGCAGTCAGAAGGTCACAGTTGGACACTTTCTCTTCGAGGGCTTTGAGTTTAACATTTTTCACGCGCCAGACATCTCGCGGGATGAAGAGCTTCTCTGATAAGTAGCCACCGTGGGGATGTGCGAGCGTTTGGTAGAGACACCTCATCAGCCAAAATGGGCGGAGGAGGAAGGACTCTGGGCAGGGTTCCAGAGGAAGCGGTGCGTTAGAAACCAGTGAGTTTGGACGGCCAAGAGCAGTAGGAGAGTGAATATTGCTGTCAAATAGGTTCATCCCGCTAGTTGGCAAACCATTCTGGTTGAAGTTGAAGTTGGCAAGGGTTGGGGTAGGCATAACGGGAACGCTGCCTGCCATTGCAGCCTTCTGGGTATCCAGGGCAGGGAATGCACCGCTCCATGGAGTACTTGGAGATTCTGGTGCGGTATCAGGAATCTGGATCGGGACTGAGGCGTTTCGGCCCCGGAAGGCTCTTGTATTGGATTGTGCTTTATCCAATCCATCTGGAGCCGAAGGTACTTTGCCCATAGGTCGCGCGGATGGCGGCAAAGGTGGAAGTTCAGCCTCATCATCCTCATGAGTGCGAGCTTTGGCGAGATTGATATTTTCCATAAACGAACCCACCGACGGGTTACGCTGCGTGGGATGTAAATTGGAACGGGAGCTTGGAGTAGAAGCCCGAGGAGGATCTGCAGAAGGCTCGTCTTTGGGCAATGGCGCGGGTGGGCGGCTGGTCATGGGGGTTGCAAAGCTTTCTAGGCCAGATGTATTGGAATCGGCTCGAGAGCGGGCATTTGTTTCAATTTTGAGGTCGCGGGTGTTCAGGCTGGATAGCCTCCGGGCTCGAACCCCCGGACCGGTAACAGAGCTGATAGAACCAGCACGGTTTGACATTGATGTCCGCTTGGGGGCAGGGAAATCAGACGATACTGGAAGAGGTGGCAAGGCAGAAGATGGAGGCGAAGAGGGAAAGACGTGTGGAGGAACGATATGGTCGTCTAATGGTAGAATGTCATCTTCCGCAAGAGTCGACAGTGCCGCACCTGTGCTGGCGACGTTGGATGTTGCGGAGCTTTCCCATGTCCTTCCAGACACGTTGCTAGAACCCGATTCCCGCGGAAGAGCCGACTTGGATGAGATCCCGAATTCAAAGTCATCCATCACATAACCCTTGGTCATTTCCTCCAGCAGGCGCTCTTCTTCCTCTGCTTCGTCGTCCAGATATTCTGAAGTACGGGCAATGGAATCCGGTGTCTGGTCCTGGATTCGGCGCATTTCGCGGTCACGATTCATTGCCTCTGCCTCTCTTTCTGCCTCTCGCACCCTTTGCTTCGCCAACTCAATGTTCCGGTGTGCATTCGCAACCACATCATTTTCATCATTCTCATCTTCATTATATTCTATCACTGGCTCCAGACCTTCATCATACGCAGCTTCGACGGCTGCATCGAGAGCAGCATCAAACTCAGCTTCAGTGTCATTGCTGAGGCGGCGGCTCGTCCGACGACGAAGATAGACTGATGACGCTTTTGAATTCGCCGATGATGGTGACGAGGCACCTGATTCGTCAATCGTGTCCAGCCACGAAGTAGATTCGTTGGTTTCTTGGTTATTCATTGGCACTGTAAGAGATCGGGGATGATCTTCCATCGCGGAAGGTTTTAAGGATTGCCGCCGAGGAGGAAGTGCTTCCAAGGAAAATTCTTTCGTCTCTTCCAGTGGTATCTGGTGGAACCCAAAGCTAGAATGAGCGGAGCTCTGCTGGCTCTCGGTTTGAGAATCATCGTTTACCGAATGAAGCAACTCTCCGTATGACTCTTGGCTGAGAGGACGCTCAGGGAGAGCCTTATCATCGCTCTCAGGGAGAGGGAAGTCCATACGCTGAAGTTCCGTTACTCGTATCATATAAGTATCACGGATTTCTTGTAGTTTCAGCTTTTCTTCGTCGCCTCCATTGCTACGGAGCATGACAAGCTGCAATAGATTGCAAGCATCAGAGTAAGCATCCATAGCACCTTCAAAATTGGCAGCATTGTCAAGCAGAACCGCCGTGTTTGCTTTCTGGAGTGCCTTTGAAAGCATCGCCTTTTGGGTCTGACCGTGCTGCCGGGTCTCTGGATCCCCCTCTAAATCATTGAAGGAGATGGAGCCCCCACTGGTTCGCGCAACGTGATCTTGTGGGACTTGATGGGAATGGGTTGTTTGAACATCTGCCCTCGGAGCACTTGTGGACGGCTGGAAAAGATTGCTCGAGGCTGTGAATGTAAGGTCGAGTTGTGGTGATGTTGAGTCGGCATTGAATATGGGAGACTTCTCAAGCGCTGGGAGGTTGAGCATTGGAAGGCCATTCATCTCGGGGGGGCGCTGGGGGCTGTGGCTCCCCCGCCCACGGATGTAGCCCGAGATAGACGCCTTTGAGCTCCCTCGTCCATGACCAGTATATTCTGACGGGCTCTTGCTGGATGCCGTGGACTGAGACCACCGATTTAAACTACCCAGCCCCTCTTTGATAGGACTGGTGGGACCAAGGCCCTCCGGAGGAAAGTTTGCCACATTCTCTGTGAGCACCCCCAGGCCAGTGGGTGTAACTGCGCCTGATGGCTTCACCAGTCGAGTCCGAGAGCCAGGCCGTGATGAACGAGAGGACGGTCTGTTAGGGGGCGGGGCCGAGGGTATGTCCGATGCGAGGGGTTCCGACGGACGTCGAGGATAGGACAAATGGGTTTCATCCTCCAATGCTGAGTGGTGAATCATGTTCGCAAAGCGATGGAGGAATCGATAGGTAGATGTTCAACGAGCGGTCAATTTTAAATATCTAGCAAGGGAGGTTCGGATATAGGAGTGCAAGTAGTTGTTTCCTCCCGACACTATGCGCAGCTGGATAAACACAGTTGGTAGGAGAATTGGGTATTGGGAACCACGTCCTTGGTGTCTTCGCTCATTCTTCGGAAGTGCTGAAGTGATCGTATGCTTCGTGGAGATCCTTTGAGAACCGCTCGTCTTAACGCATCGCTTCGTAAATCGCAGGATTTGGGAAGTTATAGCAAGGCAGTCGCTTGACAGGGAGACATCGTTTCATGCAATTGAACCTGGTGGAACCGATCAGATATGGGACGCATTGTGTGGGGGGAAGCACTCACAGATCGAGGGTTTATGCGGAGCGCACGACAAACCTCAAGCGACAGGGTCGCAAGGCTCTAGGAATATCAAAACACCCTAAGAATAGCAGACGCTCTATGGGGATGTCAGAGGTCAGGGGCCGAACCCATCCACACTACTTCAGGGGTGGCCCGTGGGGCGGTGGGCGAATGAGAGGAAAAAAAGAACAATGCGGGGAGTATCGCGAATGCCAGAAAAGATGGCAAATAGCTCAAGATGAGCAAGATGAGGGTTTTAGAGAAATCAACAGAGATAGAGAGGGAGAAAGAGAGAGAAAAGGGGGTGTGACGGTGACTCTCCCTAGTTTGTATACATCGCACAGGGATAAACACCAGCCCAAAGCGTAGAGTTGGGATCTATAAGAAAGTCAATTCTCTACAGTTAACTAGTAGTATCTACACTACTCAGCTACAGTTACAAATAAAATGTTGGTGATCTGAGTCATGTTCACGCTTAGAGACGGAACCAAAAATCTCTCCCCGATACAACCTCATGACTTCGGCCTGGAAATCGGCTTCTTTCCGGAGCTTCAATTTCTTGTCTTTACGCTCTGCTTCAATCACTGTGCGCTTTAATCAAGTCCGCAATATGGTGACCAATCCTCGGGATCCGAATACCGTGAGTAACTACAACAACTGGCGTTCTACCCACATCACCGCCAATTTCGATATTCTGTTCGACGAGAAGAAGCTGGTGGGCAATGTCGTTCATCGATTCAAATCCATTACCAATGCCGAGTCTCGCGAGATTATTCTGGATACCAATCATCTCGACATTGGCACCGTGAAGGTGAATGGCCAGCCATCCCAGTGGGAGTTCCTTCCCCCGCTGGAACCCTTCGGAGTTCCGTTGAAGATTCGTCTTGAGCAAGGTGTCGAGCTGGATGGTACCGTTGAGGTTGACGTATGTTTTGCACGACCTTCTATGTAGCTTCATCTCATCCAATTATAGATTGCCGTGAAAACTACAGGGAAGTGCACGGCGCTGCAATGGCTGACCCCGGCGCAAACCTCGAACAAGAAGCATCCGTACATGTGTAGGTGATATGTTGGCACCAATGCCCTGCAAATATACTGACAATATCGTGTCCTAGTCTCTCAATGCCAGGCAATCCATGCTCGGTCTATCTTCCCTTGTCAGGATACTCCGGATGTCAAGAGCACCTTTGATTTCAACATTACTTCCCCCTTCCGGTCATGACCAGTGGTCTGCCCATTCGCGAATCCTCGGAATCCAAGTCCGAGCACCAGCTGTATCGATTCCACCAGTCGGTGCCGATTCCCAGCTATCTCTTCGCCATCGCTAGTGGGTAAGAAAGCCGCTGTTGCTCTCAACATCCCTTGTATATACTGACTTGAAGCTCACAGAGATGTTTCGGAGGCTCCCATTGGACCCCGAAGTGTCGTCGCTACCAGCCCCGACAAGCTGGATGAATGCAAATGGGAACTCGAAGCTGATACCGAGAATTTCATCACCACGATCGAGGTAAACACGTATGATGTACTGTCTGAACGGTCAAATACTAATATAACGTAGAAAATTGTCTATCCCTATGCCTGGGGCGAGTACAATGTCTTGATCTTGCCGCCCAGTTTCCCCTATGGTGGCATGGAGAACCCCATCTTCACTTTCGCAACCCCAAGTATCATCTCCAAGGTATGTCCAATACCTTGGTATAGACCTTGATGACAAGACGCTGACATTTCAGGATCGTGAAAACATCGATGTTATTGCACATGAACTGGCTCACAGTTGGAGCGGTAACCTCGTCACCAATGCCTCTTGGGAGCATTTCTGGCTGAACGAAGGTTGGACCGTTTACCTAGAGCGACGGGTAAGTTACATTGAAAACTTTCTTAGGCCATTTTACTAACCATTTCACAGATTTTGGCTGCTATGTACGTCTATAAGGTTCTGTCTCTCTCACAGAGGACATGCTAACTTTCGCAGCCACGGCGAAGCGTACCGCCACTTCTCAGCCATCATTGGATGGAAGTCTCTGACAGATGCTGTCGAGCACTTTGGTAATGACCACGAGTTCACTAAACTCATTGTGGATCTGAAGGGTAAGGACCCCGATGATGCATTCTCCAGCATCCCTTACGAGAAGGGCTTTAACTTCCTGTTCTACCTTGAGAACCTTGTTGGAAAGCCGAAGTTTGACAAATTCATCCCTCACGTACGTCGATTCTCTCTTGCCTTTTCCGCCCTCTTTAACGTTCTTCCCAGTACTTCACAATGTTCAAGTGCAAATCTCTGGACTCCTATGAATTCAAGGCCACAATCTTGGACTTCTTCGAATCGGATGCCGAATCATCCAAGCTCCTGAACGATCTAGATTGGGATAAGTGGTTCTATGCACCGGGCTTGCCGCCCAAGCCAAGCTTCGACACGTCGCTTGTGGACGTCGTCTATGAGCTTTCCAAGAAATGGCAGTCCCTTCCCGGGTCTTCCTTTAAGCCCCAAGCCAGCGATATCGAGGGCCTGACTGCAAACCAATTGGTAGTCTTCCTGGAACAGATACTCCTATTGGAAAAACCGCTCAGTCCGGAGATCTCGAAACTGATGGGTGATGTCTACGGGTTGTCCAAGAGTGAGAACATTGAGGTTTCCAACCTTTATTTCCAGGTTGGCATGAAGGCCGGGGATGACAGCGTCATCGAACCGACGACTGAGTTGCTCGGCCGCATTGGACGGATGAAGTTTGTGCGACCTCTGTAAGACCTCTCCAACCCCAGTCTAGGATGTTTGGAACACTGACACTAACTCTTCTAGCTTCCGCAATCTCCAAAAGATCAACCGCCCTGTTGCCCTCGAAACTTTCGAGAAGTACAAGGACTTCTACCATCCCATCTGCCGCGGCATGGTGGAAAAGGATCTTTTCGGCAAGAAAGAAAACTAAGTCTTCATATCACTTCTTTTAGTCGTTTCTTTACTAGAAATAATAAGGTTAACATCATAAATAATTCAATATGCAAGAAGAGTAGGGTAATTAGTATTGTACATGTTCGAAGTCCAAGTGATAATCCACTATACGTCTACATGAAATGAATGCCCCAAAAAACGCCAGGTGAGATTTCGCACATTCCAGTCCAACATCCCCTTTATTTGCTCGACTCAACAAGCTTCTTGTCCGCCTCGGAGTAACCGAAAATACCACGGGTCTTCTTGTCGGCGCTTCCAATCGCAAAAACAAGATCAACCTCGTCCTTCTTTGCGAGCTCCGACAAGACTCGCCGGATGTATACCACCACCTGGGCAACCTTGGCCCAGTCAATCTCTTCTCCATCGGGTCCAGTCTGGCTGCCTTTCCAAAGGTTTCTCCAGACAGCGGCTCCGAGAACCGCATCACCCTTGGCCAATCCCTCATCATATGCGGCGATGATTCCACGCCATTGAATGAAAAGATCCTTTAAGTATTTATTACGGATTGTGCGGCTTCCCAGGTCATGGTACACGTCCATTCGGTGTTCTGCCTCGTGCGAAAAGTGGTCGATCAGATGGCGGGAATAGGTGGTAACGCTTTCACGGTAGGGAAGGGCACGAAGACGGACTGTCAAGAGGTACATGTGGAGGAAAGTCACCTGGGACCATGTAGAGAATGTTGGCTTAAGACCGAGTTCTGCAGCAGTGTCCACAATTAGTTGCTTTCCAAACGAAACGATAGTGGTTAAAGCCACGACAAATGTTCAGGCTCACCTTTATACCACCAGCCCTCTCCAACACCAAGGTCTTCCCCGGCTGCCGTCTTAGGAACTTCTGCACCTTTCTGCGATGCTTGAGGGATTTTGTAGTCCGCTTGGCTAGAGCAAGCCTCAAATAGCTTCTGGGTCATGCCATATGCGACATAGGTTTCAGCGGCAGTTCCTGGCCGGCGGGAGAAGTTCTTGGCCAAGTCGGCCACCTTGCCCTGCGAATACGATCGAATGGCGAAGCTCGAGCGCAATGAGGATCGAGTCGACCGCATAGACGGGCATGAGGCGGATACCAGGGGCGTTGTTGAGGGAATGCCACGAGCACATTGGGAAATGTAGGATGTCTGGGACCCGCGCATTTCGCGCGCCCATAGTGTTGACAATCTCCTGGACGACATTGCTGATGATTGAGGTGAATTGGTCTATCGTGATTGGCGACTTGCATCTTTTTCTGATAACCGTGTTGTTTGCACTGTTTGTTTGAATATACAGTATCGTTGCCCAAAGTGGACAACATGCATTCTCTTTGGTGTAAGTATTTATAAATACCTATATTGGTTTCTCTTTGTTTCTTTTCTCTCTTTTTTTTCCCTTTCTCTGTTTTAACGACATCCCATCATGTTCTACATAAAATGCAGACTTTTTAAGTTTGTATATAACCTCCAACTCGATCCTATACGTGTATGTAAACCTGGTCCGTATCTATATTCTTTTGCAAGCCGCTACGAATTTGGCTTCTCAACGCATAAATTGCAAGCAGTGGAGTCAGTTGGTTTTAGCACGTTTGTTTGTAAAATTGAATCCATTGTTGATGGGTTTAATCATTAAGCATATCACAGTACCGCACCTCAAAGGCTAAGTGAAGACCCTATTTGTAAATCTTAAACAGTACGGGTCCTTTTTTCCCAGACATACCATGTTGTCAATATGTTTCATTCATGGAAGTCTGGTCGGAGTACCGATGCAGAATCCCAAGGGTTCGAGGGTCAAAAGTCACGCTGGTATCCATATTAGAAATCAGGGCAACGGCATGCCACGAAAAAGCAAGATGTAGATCCTCAACCGCTCAGCACCACTCGCTCAGTCCGCTGTTCCACAACAGGGAGAATCCCTGAAAGTCGGTTGGCATCTCTCAAGAAAGCCGGGATATCATCCCTGGTGGCTGCTAGCATCTGTAGGTAGTTTGCAAGTCAGCAGACCTTCAATCGAAGCCACTGAGAATGACGTACCTCGCGAACTTTCCCATAATCACACTCCTTGGACAAATATTCCCGAATAATCTCACGAGTTTCGAAGTCTACGTAGACTCGGGTGTCTCGAAGTCGGATCAGGACGTTATCAAGTCTCATGAATAGTCTCGAAAGTAGAAGAAGCCTTCCTGGCATCACTCGGATTTTGCAAGACAACATCGTAATTCCGTTATCGGCCAGCTCATCCTCGTAAAGCACAACCTCATCGAAAAAGACGATGGGGTCTGGACGTTTCAATAGTTCGATCGGGATGGATTTCGTTGTTTCCTCGAATGGACATGAGTTAGGATGAAGAGTGCCCTTGTAGTCGGTGCTGTAGGACCAGTCGAATGGCTTCACGACCTCTTTAATGCCTTCGTGGGTTCTCTCCCTGCAGTTCCAAAACAATTAGTCCCAATGATCACATGGATGGAAATGCCAAGACATATGCCAATACCTGCTCTTTTGCCATTCTCTTGAGTATGCGACCTGAAGCATAGATTGGCCGGTCTTGTCCACCAAGTCCAAGGCATCATATGCATTGAAGTTAATGCCCCAATCACCCTGCTCAGACTCGACTGCAACATAGTTGTCACCAAAGATCATCTCTGGAGGCGCGATTCCCAGCTTTTGGGTCATTTCCTCAATTGGGTCGGCTTTGAGGATGGGTAGTTTCTGTGTTGAGATCACAAATCCATTGATGCGAATCGTGTTCGGCTTCTTCGCCTCTGGAGATATCGTAGCATGTGTTGTGGCCATTATGGACGAGACTCGCAGTTATTGCAGCTAGTAAGTACGATCAACTCGAGAGAGTGCACTTGAGGATCTATAAACGTTCGCGATCGGAGCTGATAGCGATAACCCCGCGGACGGAGAAAGAGGCGGACCGACCGCCCAGAAGTGTTTTGTAAGGCAGAATGGGTGAGCGATTCGCGAAGCCTGGGTATTTTCTGGATAGTGATACTGTAGGCTTTGGTGGGACATGTTTTTTGCTCTTTAATGACATGCATATCTTGTCGGTTAAAGAACCCAAACACTGTATGAACGTCATTCAATGCAACTCTAGCTCCCAAGGCGGAGAGAAAGGCGGTATAGACAAGGAAAGATACAAGAATGACATAAGCAGTGAGGTTGCCCGGGTGACGCGCACGGGACCGCCCAAACACCCGAGCTTCTGCCTCTCTCTCCATCTTTGCGATCTCCTCCCATCGACCAAAGCCAAACGACAATTAAGCAAATCATGATTGCATTCGACTAATACTACCAAGATCTGATCTTTATATCTGCTTCTCTTCTCATTATCTCTTTGCTCGTCCCTTTAGTTCGATTCCCACACAGCCGAGTCTCACCATGGCGACTAAGACGCTTGAATCTCGCTTTGAGCATTTGTCTGTCAAAGACGAGAAAGAGGGAAGCAGTGAACGGACCTATGGAAAGAAGGTACTTGTCACTACCCATCGTGACAGATACAACTTGCTGATATGAGTCCAGGGATCCGCCTCTGCAGGCGTCTCACAGACAAACAGCAACTCAAATCGAGCGCAATTACTGAAGCTGGCCCTCCAAAACAACAATGACAACAAGGTCAATGCTATGAATCTTCCCCCATCGCCCGGAAAAGGTCATGGAACGTTGGTGTCCCGAAACACCGATGAAAACGGCGAGAAGCGCACATCTTCTCTTCATGAACAGCCGTCCGTACCGAGAGAACTGCATCTGGGCATGTTCGAAATCGGCAAACCCCTCGGGAAGGGGAAGTTTGGACGAGTATATCTTGCCAAAGAACGTTCATCCGGTTTTGTCTGCGCACTGAAGGTGCTGCACAAGTCCGAACTCCAACAGGGTGGAGTCCAGAAGCAAGTCCGCCGTGAGATCGAGATTCAAAGTAACTTGCGACACCCCAACGTGTTGAGACTCTACGGTCACTTCCATGACAGCAAGCGTATCTTCTTGATTCTTGAGTTCGCCGGTCGTGGAGAGCTTTACAAGCATCTTCGCAAGGAGCACCGATTCCCGGAATGGAAGGCTGCCCAATACATCGCCCAGATGGCTGCAGCATTGAAGTACCTTCACAAGAAGCACGTTATGCACCGTGATATTAAGCCCGAGAACATTCTTGTTGGCATTCACGGAGAGATCAAAATCAGTGACTTTGGATGGAGTGTGCACGCCCCCAACAACAGACGCCAGACGATGTGCGGAACTCTCGACTACCTGCCCCCAGAGATGCTGCACAGTGGCTCCCAGACCAACTACTACAGCGAGAAAATAGACTTGTGGAGTCTGGGTGTTTTGACTTATGAGTTCTTGGTTGGCGAGGCACCATTTGAGGATACTCCGATTATGACCCAACGGAGAATTAGCCGGGCAGATATGACGGTTCCGTCCTTTGTGAGCCCTGAGGCAAAAGACCTCATCAAGAAGGTGAGCTTACACATTTTCTACATATTTGATTCGTTCGCTAATACTTTGTAGCTGCTGGTTCTTGATCCTGCGAAGCGAATTCCTCTAGATGAGATTCAACGCCATCCCTGGATTGTCAAGCACTGCGCGAAGGAGGAGCAGACTGTGAAACGGAGCTCTGGTACCTCCAAGGCCGAGAAAGCATGAATGACCTTGCATAACAGGTCTTTGGGTGTTTTGGTGTTCTTTTTGTTCTGGTGTTTCAAACCCCCATATGGAGTCTGGTGTGTTTCTGGTCTTTTGAGCATTTTTGGGCGTGTTGGTCTGTTTTTAGAGTCTAGTTGAGAGAGATGTTCATGATGTGGCGATATGTGGATCTTTTATTTTGTTTCCAACGTCGCCAATGAAATATGGTACATTCAAACAAACATATCTATGATACAAGTGCGGAGAATCGTATAGGGCTGAATGACAAACAAGGGAGCGGTGGTATCATCGGTAGATCTCATCAAATGGTCGGGTATCTCTGAAGCAGCTATCCCAGACCTCATTGACAACCTTTTCGGCATGGGCTTCGTCTTTGCAGGTCGGGCGAGCCTTCACAGAGAGAATGGCTCTTCTACGGACACATTCCTGATGCTGCTGTGTGAGTTTCCACTGTCCTCTTCTGAAGAACTCGCGCGCCCATCTGCATTCGCCGCTGAGCGAACTGGCCCTAATCTAGATAAAGTTAGCAGCCGTAACTCAGTAGAGCAAATGTAAACCAGTAGAGCAAATGTAAACGATTATATACCTCTGTGCAAGCTGCGTGCCGCAAGTTATCAGACCAATTGACCTTGAATCTCAGGTGGTCAAAGGCATGAACCATCTCATGGGCCATAGTGTCCTCGAGGTGTCCCTGGTCCTTCATCTCATTTGCGCAAATCAAGATACCATACTCTGGATCGAAACCACCACCCTTTCGATCCGTACAGCGGCGGCAATAGATATTGTGATTATGGAGATCGCCTCCTAATTGTTGAATGCTTTCACTAAGGAAACGGATGGTAGGACCTGTGTAATGATCATGTAAGTCCGCAGCCTCGGGTGGCGCCACGGCGAGTAACTCACTATATTGGAGAAGGTAATCGCGCTGATCTTCACAACGCTTGCAATCCGAGGCTTCATTTCGGGTGTCTCGCGCGACACGGAACTTCTCAATGCCTTCGTTTGACATCTTACCAGTGAGAATGGAATAGATGTTGCGGAATTGGGTCCAGGTGTCATCACCAGGGATGAAACCTGTGGTGTCGGGCTTTCCATTTGTAGGCGCAGACACACCTGGAGACTGGGAGTCTGTCATCGTGAATTGTGACTCTGGATTGACTGATGGTTGCGCGCAACACACGAAGAACCTCTGCAACGGGCGGTGTTCAGTGGCAGAATCCTCCGGGATCGGGCAAAAAGTGACTCCTCCGCGGACAATTGCCGCAGGCAGTCAACAAGTGTCTCTGTCTTTATTTTGTTTCTCTTCTTGGTTGGCTGCGAGGACCATTCGGATTGACTGGACTCGACATCATGTCAGCACCGTCTGGCCTCACAATTGTGATTAAACTAGGTGAGGGGAATCTATACTTGAAGGATGTTCGCAATGCAATACTGACAGCTTCGGTTTTCGTTGCAACAGGGACGAGTTCAATCGTTGACGAAAAGACGCACGAGCCAATCCTGTCCATATTAACGTTGATCGTGGAAACAGTGGCCAAACTCCACAGAGATGGCCACCGGGTAGTTCTTGTATCGTCCGGCGCGGTGGGGGTTGGTCTCCGCAGGATGGATGTGGATGAAAGACCAACATATCTTCCACGGATACAGGTAGGAGAAGCCGGGGCGTAGAGTGATGCGCAAGTCCGAAATGTGTTCAATATGGAAGCTAATCAACTGTTTTAGGCACTCGCTGCTGTTGGCCAGTGTCGGCTGATGAGTCTTTGGGACAACCTCTTTTCGCATCTCCGCGTCCCTGTAGCCCAAATTCTTCTAACGAGAAATGATATTGCGGATGTACGTGTGGTGCTGAATATTCGTTTGCAACGCTAACTTTCAATCCAGAGGACCCAATACGTCAACGCCCAAAATACCTTTGGACAGCTGTTCGACATGGGAGTGATTCCTATTGTGAACGAAAATGATACCCTGGCTGTTTCTGTAAGAGCACCAACCTTGTTTTATATCGCCCACCGTCTGACAATATTCCAAGGAAATTAAATTTGGCGACAATGATACCCTTTCTGCGATTACAGCGGCCATGGTCAAAGCCGACTACCTTTTCTTGATGACTGACGTCGATTGTCTTTATACTGCGAACCCCCGAACTAACCCTGACGCAAAGCCCATTGAAGTCGTGTCCGACATTGCCTCTCTCGAGGCCGATGTCTCATCGGCTGGTTCCTCTCTTGGAACTGGAGGCATGAGTACGAAGATTGTGGCTGCCAAACTGGGAACAAGTGCCGGTGTAACAACCGTTATTACCAAGAGCTCAAAGCCAGGGAATGTTCACGAGATCGTGAAGTATCTGCAACACATTGAGGCTCGCTCCAAGGGCACGGCAAATGAACAAGATGCGGCCCCAACAGCCCCTCTCCATACCAGATTCCTTCGGTCTGGTACGCCGGTTCAATCACGAACCTTCTGGCTGCTTCACGGGCTCTACCCGCACGGTACTTTATTCATCGATCACGGGGCCTACAATGCCCTTTTGAATAAGGCGAACCTGCTCCCAGCTGGAGTGGTTGGAGTTGAAGGTCATTTTGGGCAACAAGAGGCTGTTCGTCTAGTTGTTGTTGAGCGTCCATCTCCCGACGCTCTGAACGGGGACTTTTACCACCACGCCCAGGAGCCCAAGGAAGTTGGTCGCGCTTTGGTGAACTATGGCAGCCTTGAGATCGCTCATATCAAGGGACACCGCAGCACAGAGATCGAAACGCTACTTGGCTATGCCGATAGTGATTATGTGGCGATGCGGGAGAACATCTCGTTCCATCCTGAAGATCTAGTCAGTCACCCAGTGACACCATCATTGACACCGGCGCTGGATGAGTGGAAGTGAAAATAAATAACAAGGCGCCCGATCATTGATTTTATGCATTCAACGAACAACCTAGACGAAGGATTTATTGCGCTCGACCGCATTGGATAGAGATAGGCGTGTTGATTTTCCCATTAATATTGGATACTGCTTCAATATAAAGGCTGATGGGATATAAGCACAAAAATTCAAGCAATGTTAAGGCCATCCAAGAGCCGACAAACTCCAACGCCATGACATCGGGCCATAAAAACACATAATTCGAATATCTTAACGCCAACTTGAGCGCCAGGGAAGGATATCCATCAAAAGTAAGACGTGGAAATAGAATCAATCCTTCCAACGGTCCAACCATTTCTGCATTCTCTTGTCCAGAGTGGGCTGAGGAGCGGGAGCAGCCTGAAGTGAGCGAAAAGTTAGCATTCTTAGAAAACAACGCAAGGCCTAAAGCGTAAAACATACCGTATTCTCAATGCTTTGTGCTGTCCATGTGGCATAAGCCATATCCGTGTACTGAACAGTCGGAGCCCCAAGATAGGCTGTGGCAATTGAGTATGGGAAAGGTGGATACTGAGGAGTAGCCGATCTAGTTGCAATGGTCGTTCCAGCACTCTTGGGCATGGGAGCATACTTTGTAAGGCCAGTCTGCTCGCCGAATGGGACAGTATGCTGGTCAACAACGGCCGCTGCGGCGGCACCAGCGCCAACGCCGCCGATAGCCATCACCTGTCGTTTCCGTAACTCATTGTGGCCGGCGTCACTGTCGACCGTCGGTGTCGGGAACTGCAAGAGCGTTCCGGTCGACGGAAGGCTGAGTCTCGAGATGTTGAAGGTTGAGGGAACGTCGTCCTCGAGCAGATGGTCATCCTGGACTACAGGCCAAGGGATTGCGACAGGGGGATTTGGTTTCAATGTCTTGATTGCTTCCAATACCTTGGGCGAAAAAGAGCCTTTCATGTTTCGTAGGGTGAAATGAGATGTAAATCCAGACCAATACTCTTGAGAGTCTGTAGAAACCACCTTGAGGAAGCTGATTGAACACAGGAGCGTTAGTCAATTAAAAATGAACTTTGATACCTTTCAAGGGGAGCCACGTCTTACTATGCATTAAGTTCGTTCCCACCGACACTCTGGTCGACTCGGAAGGAGACCACGTCCCCAGAAGAATAAGTTCCATTCTTGATCACTTGTGATAGAGAGTCCTAGATGGTGATGAGCACGAAGTATAAAACGCGGGCCTCGAATGAGCAACATACGTAGGAATCCGTGGTTTCGTCCCCGGCACAAAGATAGAAGTCGTAACTTGAAGGTGTTTCACTATCCAAGCCCCAAAGAAGACTCACAACATCTCCGCCATCGAAACTCAGACCATCTGTGATCTGGGCATAGGCAAAGGCAGCGAATGAAAGCACCACTGCCGGAAGTTGGACTCGCATGCTGAGATGATTGAGAGAGATGAAGTCTGGAGGAGAAACCCCCCAGAGAAAAGAGACCACATCCCTTCATTACCCTGTGGTATGCAAAGTTGACATTCCTTGGAAGCGTCCCCAACGTCCTATACATCAAGGGTGGTCTGTGCGGACCTCTTCTCCCGTCCTCAGCCCACTCCACAGAGCTCGGTTTCAACAACTATGTCGAGCAAAGCAGGCTGGGATTCGGTGACTGGCATTGCCACGTTGCTGTTTGATGGCAATCTGGTTGCCATCGCCATTGCTATTATCTTCACTTTCGGGGTCCCAATCACATTGCACCTGATCTTCTTCCAAGCTGTTGCATCTCCGCCCTCAAGCAACTTCCTGCTCCTGGGGCCCAGCGGAGCTGGTAAAACGGCTTTCACAACCTTGGTAGTATCATTCCTGAGATGCTTAGAGGGGATGAGTCTTTGCTAACCAAATTCACAGCTCGAGGCAAAATCATCCCCCGCCTCGAAGAAGTCGCAAAGCACCCACACCTCTCAACAATCGACCTTGGTGACTGTTAGCCTGCCACCCGATGTCCCTACAGCTTCCAACCGGTATCGCTCGGTCAACGATCCCTCCTTGAAGGAGGCCGCGCGGAACCCAATCAAGTACCGTGTAAGGGATACCCCTGGCCATGGCAAGCTCCGTGTCTCGCAGGGGCTGTCGGAGCTCCAGGCTATGGCCCAGTCCAAGGACATTAAGACCCGGTTACGGGGTGTAGTCTTCATGGTTGATACTGCCGCCCTGGTGGGCGAAGCGACACTCCGCGACACCGCTACCTATCTACACGATGTCCTTCTTGTCCTCCAGAAGCGGGCTAAGAACGGATCATCCAGCAAGCGGACCTCGGAGATTCCTGTCCTGGTCGCTGCGAACAAGCAGGACCTGTTCACGGCTCTTCCCCCAGGCTCGGTAAAAGAGAAGCTGGAGGCCGAGATTGATCGCATCCGCAAGTCGAAGAACAAGGGTCTTCTGGATGCAAGTGCGGACAGTACCTTGGATGACGATGAGGAGATTCTCGGCAATGATGATCTTGAATCCTTCAGCTTCAAGCTGCTGGAACACGAGGTTGGCGTCAAGGTCGAGGTAGTTGGCGGTGCCGTCAAGGGTGACCAGCAGGAGGAATATGGATCTGGAGTGCGTCGCTGGGAAGAGTGGATTGGCATGTGCCTGTAAGAGTTGGGCTTTTGCTCCATTGCTCCATTGCTCTCTTGTCTCGGTCCAAAACAGTAAATATATCGATTGTGCTTTGTATTTAATAAGGCAGATACCAAAAGTGCATTAAGTTCTTCAGCGGTTTTACCTACGTTTCTATCTAACTCTGCCATTCCCAATCCAGTCCAAGTGTCTCTGTAGCCTGAGCATCGATCCAGTCCTGCAGGGGATCAGCCATCAACCCGGACACTCTGAAATAAAGATGATATACTCACCCACAAGTCTCTTGAGAGCTTCATATCTCTAGCAATCGAGCTGGGCTTACACAACGTAGCAATAGGTATGAAGTACTGACCACGGATATTCTCTCCTCTCACTTCACTACTGGCAGCAAGATATAAAGCCGTCGCGGCCCCATCCTCCAACGACTGACCCCAACACGATCCACCCAACCTCACAAGCCAGCCGAAAAAAGATCCAAAGTAAGAAGACCAGTCGAGCCACTGATCAGTGACAACATTCCCCGGGAAGAAGGAATTGACATAGATATGCTTACTGGCCGGATCACGATCATTCAAAAGCCGACGACTGAGCTCTTTCGCAAAAAGAATGTTGCCCAGCTTTGATCGGCCATACCGCCAGACCCCATCATACAAGGCAGGCCATTTGACGCGTGAAGATGAAGTCAGAAGATCTAGATCTAGCTCCTGGCATGTCAAGTGTAAAGACGAGCTCGCAACAACAATACGCACATCGCCGTTGCGCACTGTGACCACGCCATTCTTCAAGAGAGGCATGAGTAGTGTAGTGAGAACTTGGTGTCCGACGCAGTTTGTCGCGAAGACACGCTCGATATTCTGTGGCGAGCGAGTGTATTCATCTGGGACACCGAGGGCTTCATGTATTTGTTAGATTACAACGGTAGCAGAATGAAGATGATACTCACCTGCGTTGCAGATCAGGATGTGGACTCGATCTGTCAGTTCTTTGATCTTCTCAGTGGCAGCTTTGACATCCTCGACATCTCCCAAATCACACTTGACGAACTTGACTCGGGGGTCATCCTTATTGAGTGAAATAGCCTCGCTTTGACTCCATTCTTTGCAGGCAGTGACGTATTTGTCTTCGCTTCTGGCGAGGATGATCACTCTCTCTATCCCGTGTAAGAGAAGTTGAGCCGTGATTTCTATTGATTGTTAGCATGTTGCATTGCAATATTTGGCATTCCATTTGATGTTCCTATATACGTGCCTTTGCCAATGCCTGCATGCCCACCCTATTCAAGGATTAGCCTCAGTTGCTGTGAATGCCAGATTGATTTACCGTGACCACAGCCACTCGCTCTTTTAAACCTGGCACATCTTCCAGTGAAAAGTTGCGGTATGTGAATATTCCAGTCATTTCGAGTTGAGGAATTGTTGAAGTTGGTCGAGCTGGAGGTGTAGCACGTATACGTCATCGCCACCAGTACCATTCATTGGACTATGCTATTCTCTATGTGTATTAAGTATGCATCATATTCAACGCCATTTATCTTTGCACTGCACAGGTATCGTGTGTTGAATCTCACTGAGGCCTGCATAAGACGAAAGAAAAAAACGCCCATCCCAAATATCAGAATGCCCAATGTTGAACCTCTACCCCAAGAAGCAATATCTCATGCGGAATACATTTTGGACAGAGAAATCTCTATCCGATTAAAAAGGAAAACCTAGGCCTTGTTCGCCTTGCTCTGGTGCAGCATCCAGGTAAGGAGATCGACCTTGGTGACGACAGCAAGAGGCTTCATAGCACCGCTCTGATCCTTCTCAGTAACGACAGCGGCACTGTTCCACTCGAAAAAGCGGTTCAGCACGCTGAGAGGGGTGTCCATAGTGATCTCAATGAAGCTACGGCTGCGGGCCTGAGGCTTGAGGGTATCCTTACCCTTGCCGAGATCACGGGGGTCGGTGACCACCTCGGAGATCTTGGAGAAGTCGAACATAACCTCGGAGACGGGGCTCTGACCGGATGCCCGGCCGTGAGTCAGTCGGCTAAGCACGTTACCAAGAGTGACGAGACCCACAAGCTTGCGGCCGGAGGGGGCGAGGACGGGGAGCTGATCAAATCCTCTGTCGCGCATGATCTCAATGGCAGTCTCGCAGGGCGAGCTGGCTGTGACGGTAGTAATGGGCTTCAGGCGCAGAGCGCTGACCTTGGCATCGGCCAGAGGGTCGGCCTCTGGCTCAGTCTCAGTTGTCGCGGTCACTTCAGCGGGGAGTTGGGGGAGCAGGTCGTTGGCGGCGAGCCAATCATCATCAGCGAACTGGAGGTAGTTAGTATAATGTCATTTGAGGTTGAATATTGCATTCATCGCTCTTACCTTGGTCAAGTAACTTCTGATGCTGTCGGGGAGAACCACAACAACAACGTCGTCCTTAGTGAACTTGTGCTCCTCGTTGGCCTTTGCAAGAGCAGCAATGGCACTGCCACTGCTACCACCAACCAGCAGACCCTCCTGAGCAATCAATTGGCGGGAGTACTTGAAAGACTCCTTATCGGCAGTCTTGTACCAATGATCCACAGCCTGCTGGTCCAGCACATCGGGAATGAAATCATATCCAATACCCTCGACCTTGTAAGGCTCGTTGGCGCGAGCATCGTTGAGAGTGGTAGGCAGAGCCAAAATGGAACCAAAGGGATCGGCGGCGATCACTTTGATATCGGCATTGTGCTTCTTGAGACCACGGGCAAGACCAGTGATGGTACCACCAGTTCCTGCGCCAGCGACAATAGCCTTGATCTGGCCATTGGTCTGGTTCCAGATCTCCTCGGCGGTACCGAGCTCGTGGGCCAACGGGTTGTTCACATTGCCGTACTGGTCCAGGATGTGGGCGTTGGGCAGTTCCTTTTCGAGGCGCTTGGCCACTCCAATGTGAGACTCAGGCGAGTCGTAGGCCGCCTCATTGGGTGTACGGATGATCGTAGCGTTCAAGGCGCGCAGGACGGCGACTTTCTCGGCAGACATCTTCTCCGGAAGCGTGATGATGGTCTTGTAGCCTACAACGAACAGACATGTCAGTACACATATACCATGATCAGATCACTAGAATCGTACCCTTGACAGCACCAACCAGTGCCAGACCGATACCACTAAGTCACAATTAGCACCCAGAATCACACCATACAGTGAACAAAACGAACGTGTTGCCACTGGTAGGCTCTATGAGGGTGTCGCCAGGCTTGATGCGACCCTCTCGCTCGGCCTCCTCTATCATGCGCAGGGCAATGCGGTCCTTGACACTGCCACCGGCATTGAAATACTCCAATTTGGCGTAAACGGTGGCATCGATTCCGAGGCTGCGGGGCAAACGGTTCAGGCGAACAAGGGGTGTGTTGCCGATCTGCTGTGTGATGGTGTCCAGAGCCACTGGTGGGGAGAAGGTATTAGAAGACATTATGAATATGAAGGTCACTATTCAGAGAGAAAGGAAGTGAAGTTGTCAAAAGCGAAGATTTCACCACTCCGACTTTTTGCCCGCCCGATGATAGCCGCCTGTGGACCCATCTAATCTACATCTATGCAACTGTACGTGTATGGGATTGACAGTATATAAGAAGTGTATAAGTTATAGGATTCTAGTAGATGGATAAGAGTTGAGCTATATTCAGGTTAAACACAAATAATAACAGGGAGATCGCATATATATAAACAACAGAATACTCAGAATAAAGCTGAGGTCTACGGACACAGGAACATATATAAGTTTACTACACTACCAGTTGTAGAATAGAATATCCGGAGCAAACCACAAGGACCTAAAAGTAACTTATAACTACTGCCGCTATAAACTTGCCTCACCGATCTAACCGATTTCTCTTCTACATGCACGCCGATCTCTATCCACATTGCCCAACTCGCTCCAATCATTCAACAAAAACAAGCTAAACCAAGCTCTTCCTGCACAAGTGGTGTTCACACTCTCTAGGGAATGATGCGCTAAGTTGAGAGATTTCTGCAGAGCCGAGACCGTGGCTGTGCACAATGGGACATGCCATTCCCCACAGCAATCTACACATTGTGGTTTCATCTTTGACAATGGTATGTCCCAGAACACAGCCAGGATGCCAGTTACAGTATTTGGACAGTTGAGGAGGTTGGGTGCCCCTTGGGAGCCCAAGTCGCCACGGCCAACCTGAATACGATCGTCACGGAACAGTTGCACATCGTGGCTGGATGTGCCAAGACCACCTGGCTCGTGAGATGTTCCATCCCTGATCCATTGCTCTCGATCATTTGAAGGCTGATTGGCTATGCTGTCTTCCAGCGCATCCCACAGCTGCGGTTGTTTTTATTTGCCTCCTTTCGCACGGGCTAGAGCTGTATAGTCCCTGCTGTCTCTCACCCTTTCTTTGCTTTTTTCCTACCCTCAGCGTGAAATTCTTGTCCTTGCAGCGTTCTTCCCTTAATTCTTTATCCTCTATCAAGCATTTATTACGAATCCATCTACCATTATATTCTTTGGTCGCTTCACGGTCTGGTACCGTGCTCGCCCAGCCAAACAGTAGCCCCTGAGCTCTGTGACTATGGGCTCAATCAGGTCGGACAACTCCCAGAACACAGATCTGCGTCTCCGCGGAAGTGGTGATGGGTCGAAGACATTGAAAGAAAAGACCTCGCAGAGTAACTCGATATTGCCCACCAACTCGAACACCTCCAAACGACGATATGGCCTCTTTCGCGTCAAATCTGCAGGAGAGAGCGGTCGGACGGGAATACACCCATGGCATCTTCTCAAAGTATGCTTCAGGAGTGTCTGCACACTGTCAATGGTGGTGAACATTCTCTGGCCCTTTGTCCCTGCCGCAATCGTTATACACTTTGCTCGACCCGACCTTCATGTCTGGATTTTCAGTCTCAACTACATTGCCATGGTGCCCTCGGCAAACTTGCTCGGCTTCGCAGGCGGAGAGCTAGCGAAGAAATTACCCAAGATGCTGGGCATCTTGGTTGAAACGACACTAAGCTCCGTGGTGGAACTTGTACTTTTCATGGTCCTTTTGTATAAGCATGGCCGTACCGAACATGCCGATCTGATCCCCGTTATTCAAGCCGCTATTCTCGGCTCCATCATGGCAAACCTCCTGCTTTGCTTGGGCATGTGCTTCTTTGTCGGTGGTCTCCGACGCGAGGAGCAGGTCTTCCATGAAGCGGTCAGTGAGGTCGGCACTGGGCTGCTGCTTGTTGCTGGCTTTGGACTTTTGATCCCTAGTGCTTTCTACTCCGCGCTGCGTGGGAGCGTCAATGAAGAGTTTACACTGCACGCTTTAGGCGGTTATGCCCTGACAATTAGCCGTGCCACTTCGGTTATTCTTCTCGTGGCATTTTTGACGTGAGTAACCTTTCATATATGCATAGAAAACAGTCACTGACCTCAATAGCTACCTGGTCTTCAACCTGCACAGCCACAACTCCATCTTCGACGAAGTGCTAGCCAAAGACGAAGATAAGGATGAAGACAGACACGAAGAACTCGCAAGGGCCAAACTCACATTGATTGAGTGCTTTGTGGCCATCGCGGTCTCGCTGACTTGTGTTTGTATGTCGGCCGTCTTCCTGGTCCAAGAAATCGAGTTCATTGTGGCTCGTGGTGTCTCGGATAACTTCCTCGGTTTGATCCTTGTACCGCTGGTCGAAAAGGCTGCCGAACATCTTACTGCTGTTGATGAAGCTTGGGATAACCAGATCAACTTTGCACTGTTCCACTGCCTGAGCCCTTCTATCCAGACTGCACTGCTCAATGCCCCACTCACCGTCATTGTTGGCTGGGGAATGGACAAGGAGATGAGTCTGAACTTTGAGATCTTCATGGTTGTTCTCGTTGTTCTCTCGATTCTGGTCGTTGGCAATTTCTTGCGGGATGGCAAGTCCAACTATCTCGAAGGAGCTCTTTGTGTTTTGGTGTATTTCATCGTGGCTGTTTGCACTTGGTACTATCCTGGAGTGGAAATTGCCTCGACAAATCAGTATTAACAGGAATCGAGGCTACCAAATCGAATCTGTCTTATTTTAGATACTAATTCACTCCAATGTACAATGAATATTAAAGTTGATGAATACTCCAGATTTGGACGAAAGTCCTGGTATAAATGCTGTCCGAATTGGACTGCACCTAGATAGCCACACCCAAATTTAAACCACAAAGCGAACACGATCTGGAATGTTATTCCGAAGACTTGAAGCGCAAGGCCTCATTAAGGAGCATCTGTGCATCAACCCGCAACTCAAAGTTGGCTAAGAAACAAAAACTGATCTCTAGTTTAGACAGTTCCTGTTCAGAGACACCACCGACTTTGGCAACCCGGCTATGCGAGTACTTCAAGTCCTCCAGGGCCTTGGACGCAACCCAAATACCAGCAAGCACCAACCTATGTACGTTCCTCGGCAAAACCCTCAGAAGATTCTCATCCAAGGTCATCTTAGATATATACACGCTGGCCGCGAGATACACCGCTGTAGACATAGGACAATACTTATGCAACCGAAGCAGATACTCTTTCAAAGGAAACGCAGGCACCTTCTTCGAAAGAAACTTCTTCGCCAGAATAGCCAACTGAACCGCCTCCTCAGTGGCGCGTGCCGGGTTGGGCGCATCATTAGGATCATTCACATGTAACCCAAATGACTGCACCTCCAAATGACCCTCCGCGATAGGCGTCTCACTTTCCCGCGGTGTAGAGCTATGCGAATTCCATTCATCCGTCCCAGAAGGCTTGTCCGCATACTGAGCACCCAACTTCTCAATATTAAGACAGAGCAGGTGCACTGCAGCCTCAGGCGAAATGTCAAACACGGCAGCGGCGTCATTCCGCGGCGAATCAGCGGCCGGGCGATCAGCGCGGTCCCCGATCCCACTGCTGTCGGGCGAGTCGAGTTTCAGCATGGCAAGCGCCGGGCGAACAGTCGCATTCACGTCCACGTCCACGTTCACGTGCCCGTCCGCATCCGCGTCTGTGTCATCGGGCATGCACTCCGTTTGTGTGACAGCAGCCATTTTGGCCTGGACGTTCATTGCGCGCAGGCGAAGGCGGCGTGGGTTGGGAATGCGAGCGAAAGAGTGCACCTGAGCCTTGTGGATGATGGCTCCCCAGTTGGATATCTCATTTTCTGACGCGGGATAGGAGGTGTGGTGCGCGGTCTCGTGGCGATAGTGATCACGGGGAGAAGAGGAGGGACGGAAGTAAATGGAATTTAGTGGGGGAGTACAGTACGAAGTACTCAGTAGTGGAAGAGTAATGGTGAATGTAAGATTGAAGTCCTCACATTACCGAGGTTTGCGAAAGTTGAATGTTTCCAGGGGCAAAGATAAGTTATCAGCATTGCATCACTTTCATGCTCTGATGGAACCACCATGTGGTTCTCATCTATATACATGTTAAAACAGTAACACTAACCGATAACTCCTAATGAAATATACCTATCCCTATACTCCCATTCCATTCTTTTCTTCAGGGGTATTGATGCAATCTGATAAGCGTCATCATTTTACCCTTATAACGTATTCACTTGTTCCTTTCTTCCTTTCTTCTGACCTTTCTGACTTTTTTCAAGGAAGAGGCATTGTGTTGACCAGAAGACAAATACGTGACTTCTCTAGGTCTGCAGTCGCTGCAAGGGCAAGCCCAATATGCCAACCCATACCGCCCCAGGAAGGATGCTCTTTGAGCTCGGCGATGTATGGACTTGTAACCATCCCGGACGATGGCAGGTGTTCTAGGGACCCAAGTCTCGATGCGGTGTGTTGTCCGAGTTGGCTCTGGGTTGTGCGCGTACATCCTTCGTTGGCGCTTATGAACCTGTGTAAGGCGAGTATGGGGTTTCTGGATAGGGCCTTCGTTGTCGCTCACCCACTACCACATGAGGTGACCATGGGTTCCGGTTGTACGGCATTCGCTCTCGCTCGGGGATCCCCGAACCAGTTGAATAACCCGAAGGCGTCCTTCGCCCAGCACGAGGGGGTCTTCTCTCTTCGACGGGAGAGCGTGAGCGAGCCTGCCTGGCTTGAGGCGTTGTGGATGGTTCCGCAAAACGAGTTCGCTTTTGCGGCTTTGGTGCCCACTTTTGTTCCCTCTCTATAATGTCGGGCTCATCGACCGGACGACGCCGTTCATAGGAATGACATCGAGGCTGAGCTTGTCTTTCTCGAGCTGATGACCTACCCCTGTAGGTATTGGGATCGATGTATTCGACAACTGGACGAGATGCGGGCCTAGACCAAGTCGGATGTCCTCCATACACATATTGGGGGGTCCTTCTATGTGTGTATGACCTATGTGTGGATGGCATGCCAGTGGGAAAGGTCATTCTACTCCCAAAGTTTCCCATATTACAAGCGTTTTTCTGACGGAAACGCTTTCCTCGGGCCAAGAAGTCATCGGCGCTCTCGTGTGAGAAGTTCGGAGAAGAAGGTGACGGCGACCAGTTGTCACTGGAGTCGAAACCAAGCGAAGTGTAGTAGCGATATCTCCGAGGTCGAGAGATACCGTGTCTATGAGCTCGGTAATCCATCTATAATGGGGTTAGCTTTTGGCCCTTCTTGATAATTGACATTGAGAATGCATGGAGACAGGCCCAAGTAAATAGGCCCTAAGAACAATGAGTCTATACACAAAGATGAACCCAAATAAAGAGCTGACAAAGAACACAGCCAATAGACAGAAATAAATATGAAGGGGAACGAACTTCAAACTGCCTATTCGAGGACCGTCTAAGTATAAAACGAATGAAAGACATGAGGGCAGCCCAGACAAAGGTCTAAAGCAGGTATTTGGTGTGTACAGAATGCTGAGAATAGAATGTGTATTGTATATTCATAGAGATGAACAAAGCAGACTCTAAATAAACTCACAAAGTCTGAAAGACAAAGACTAGTTGTGAAGCATAGAATCTAAAAGCACGAGACATGAAGACATTTATAGCTAGAATGGACTCGAGGCAGGTTCACAAGGACACAGGCAGCAACACGACCATAACAGGGCCATAGCTCGTAGTTGAAGCTATTAAGATGATATATGGTGGCTGATACGCCTCTAGTCACAGGGGGCGCAGGCCGAAAGTCATGGGGAATAGCCCAATATCGGGTGACAAGGTCAACATCGATCCTGTTTCGGACCGTAATAGGTACAAAGGGTTTCATGGGAAGGGCATGTATAGATAGAAGAGTCTGATATAGATCCATCTATACGCATTATTCACCCAATATGAAGGGACGTGTGACATAAGAATTGCACGGCGTTAGCCAAGCCCCCATATGGCGTGCAGCGGAAAAGATACTTAAAACCAATGAAATTACACTTCGACATCACGACTTCATTGAATCTGCATACTGACTGCGCAACAGGTGCCCAATCCTCAAGACTCCCCGATGAAGATTTCTCTGTGTGTTACAGATCGAGAACAGCCACACAGCCACACTTGATCATCTAGTCAGAGTTGCAGCTGTTGGTGGCTTGAAAGGCGCTACTGTCACCGACATCACTTAAGAACCAACGATTTACAACGCGAATCATCCGGTTATAGAATATGTGCCCCCTCCTGCCGTGTTGGGTTAACTCCGCTGTAGTATCTATGTCCACATTTGAAGTACCTTGTCCTGGACCTTGTCACGCTGATGAAGAACATCCATGTTCAGGCCCTGGACCCCACTCTGTAGCCTCACTATCTCAGTCTCGAGGCCTGAAATTCCTTGTTCTTCGGGTGAGTTCCGTAGGGATATTTCATAATGACAACTGGCGGTCAAGGCAGACTGAAGGAGCTGGGATGCGCTGTCGGATGGCGACAGGTGGTCCACTAAAGGAGAATCGACTGCACCCTTGAGACTACCTAGTGTTTCGGACATCTGAAATCGTTTTTCGTGAAGTTCACTGACCCCGCCGGTGCCGCCGTTGCCTTTTGGCCGGAGCACAGATTCGGGGAGCACACCAACACGCCGCAAAATACTTCCTAGGGCAGGTTGGTCAATCGTAGGCGCCGCAGGGGTTTTCGCCGCAAGAAGAAGGCCTGGCTGTAAAGAGCGGCGGCGCAGTGAATCTCGCCGTGAAGAGGGCTGTGTGACGAGTTCACCCGCTTCGGATTGATATAGGGCGGCTAATTGGTCCAACAGCACCGAAGATGACAGCCGGTCTGCCATGTGCTTCGTGAAATCCTGCTTGGACAATGTCATTTCGATTAACGTGTCGAGTGCCTAACGATGTCTTAGCTCTTTGTTCGTTGGATGCGCAGGAACACCGTACCTGCTCCAAACTCTCCTGCGACGCCACTCGCAGCTTGCCATGTTCGTTCTGAAGCTCCCTGAGGATGGGCTCGTTGAATTGCTGCCTAACCGACATCTCGGCTAATATCCCAATCTCCGGGTATAGAGACTCGAGTTCCTCCTCAAGTGCAGCAATGGTTTCTCCTGCTGGAGCCTTGGCGACTGTGCCCCCAGCCTGAACCGTTTCCAAGTAGAGTCGATCGAGCCGATAGTGTATTTCCTCTGCAACGTAGTCTGCCAGCATGGCACTCAGGTCATTCGTACGCGTCACCGTGGATGCATCATTGCCACGATATTTGATACCCGACACGAGTGTCTCCAAACCAGCAAGGGTCTTGTCATCCTGTTTTAGCTGGGTCGACAGAGATGCCAGAATTCTCTTGCTTTCCGTACCCGACTTGTCCAACGCGTTCCTGAAATTGGCCTCCAGTTCGTCCGAGAGCTCACTAGCCTGCGCAGAGTCAGAAATACGCTCCCACATGCCGCAGCAAATCTCAACCTACCGCCATTGTTATATCCTGTCTCCCTCCTTCATGCTTCTTTCGCAGCCGAGCAACGTCCCGATTTCGCTGTTGCTCCAAGTTGTTCGCTAGTCCCAATTGCTTATTGAGACTGTCGCACTGGAATTTTAAAGTCTCTGTCTGTTTCTGAATCGTGGCTGTAGAGGCCTCGAGGAACTCGATCGCGTCTCGGAGGTCATCTTCGAGAATAGGGCGTGTGGCAGGGAGGTCGGGGTTGCGGAGGAAGGGTTGGAGAGCCCCGTTGGCTTCGAGTCTCGAGTATCTGAACGTTCAAATTAGCTTTGAAGCTCATGCCAAAACTCATATTATAGCAGGAAAGCTTCCATCCCAATATGTCGTTGCAATCTAATAATCAGAAACATACAATGCCAGTTCCTCTTTTGATAGCAGGGTGTCGGGTCGGAGGTGTTTCACTGCCCACTCCGTGTCGCCAGAAGCGCCGCAAAACGCGGACTTAATGGCATCGCGCTTAGCGAGTATATCTCGCTCTTTAAGAATTGAAAGGATGCTGTCGGTGAGGGTGTCTCCCATGTTTGTTGTTTTGGGGATGGTGTGGAGGCCCGATAAGGTGGGGAGCTCGGGAGAGGCAATTTCGCGACACAATGAGATCTATCGCGTAGAACATATTTAGGCAGCCTGTTTTACTATATACATTACAATATACTCTCTAGATTTGTCTATCTTCACCTTGTGTATAAATCCCCACATTACTATGTACCCAACTTGCTATGGTCTCCTGTTCTAGTAATAGTCAACATAGATCTATAGGATAGAGATGAAACACACCAGTCAAATTAGTCAAATTAGCTCACCATTGAGGAATGTTGAGGCCTAGAACCTCGTTAAAGAGCAACTTGATCCCCTGACAATAGTCTATGTGCCTCAGATGGAGCTTGTAGGCGAGTGTGGTTGACCAGGCCAATGAACGGAGAACTACACTAGAAAGAAGGCTGACAAACCAAGAAAGAACTCCCAGTACGGAGTCTGTGATGTGCGAAATATATCCAACTAAACGATTGGCTAACTTGATACGTCGATTGGCTTTTTATACTGCCTTCCATGATCTATTGCTGCATGTGTAAAGCATGGCTACAGTAAATATGTGGATGGTTCAACTAGAACAGCGAGAGACAATAGACTATTTGAACTAGAAGGCTCAATGCCATATAAAATCGAGCCCTGCGATCTCCACAGTAGTCGGCAGTTGAGATCAACAGGGCAACAACCCAAAATAAGCCAAAATGTGGCTGCCTATGTGGCTGAGTAATCGACAACACCATGAACCTTTTGATTCGCAACACTGGAACACGTTTGCCCAGTTTGAATTTTGCCATCAACCCTCTGTACAGTGCGTGTATGTACCTGAAGTAGGGAGAGACGTGTCGGAGTCTGGAAGCTTAGCATTTAGCGTCTCCGCAAAACGTTACCGCATCCCAAAAAAGTCGGCCCTGTCGACTTGACATCCTTCGGCATTCACCTCTCGCCGTTTCGCATCTCTGTTCACCCAAGATTTAATTATTTGAATTTCTGTGAATGCGCCGAGGGACTCGCGATGTTCCCTTAGATCACCGTGTCTGAACAGTACCGAATCGATTCCGTCTCCTTTTTACCGACAGCATTTCAGCGTCCCTCGTTACCGTTTCCGACAAAATCACTATTAGACAGAGATGTCTTCCAAAACCTCCCCGTCAGAATCTCGGGGCCCCAGTCCCGGCCAAAACTCCGGATCCACGTCAGCCTCCAATGGCCCCTCGAACACCGAAGTGGAGATGAAGCCCATGCGATCTGATCCCCCGAAGGGCTCAATCCCTCTGGGAGAGGATGTGATGCAGCTGGCTCGGATGGGAGAGATTGGCGCCATGCAGAACTTATTTGCGGCCAAGAAGTTCACCGCAAACCACCGAGATGAGGAGGGGATCACCCCGTTACATGTTCGTTCTTCGATGGAGGCTGCGCAACCTGCGTAACATTGGAACCATGTTTACTGACCGTGCATTCTCTCTTTATAGTGGGCCGCTATCAACAACCAATATGCGATGTGCAAGTTCCTACTCGACTCCGGAGCCGATGTCAACGCCAAAGGAGGAGAGTCGGTGGCGACGCCAGCCATGTGGGCAGCACAGCGGTGCCATTACTACATTGTCAACTTGTTGCTCCAGAACGGTGGAGACCCTCTTTTGACGGACGTGCAAGGGTACAACATCCTCCACCTCGCGACCATTGACGGCAACGCTTTCCTGGTTGTGCTGCTTCTCCACCAGGAAATCCCCGTGGACGTCGTCGATCAACAAGGGCATACTGGACTGATGTGGGCCGCGTACAAGGGTTATCCCGCCTGTGTGGACTTGTTCCTGCGCTGGGGCGCCAATGCGAACGCTGTGGACGAAGGTGGCTTGACACCGCTCCATTGGGCGCTAGTGAAGGGCTCTATGCCTTGTGTCCTGAAGCTGCTTGAATTTGGCGCCGACCGTTTCGCCCAGACCCGGGATGGCAAGTCCCCCGCGACTGTGGCGCAGGAAATGAACACTTTGCGGGTGTGGTACCGCTCGCTCAACGAGCGCGGCTATGAGCCTGATGGCAGCCAGAAGGTGGTGCCTTTTGGCATGTCGAGCTTCGTGCGGAACAAGAGCCTCATGGCCAAGTTCTTCTTTCTCTGGCCCTTCTTGACTATCCTATTGGCTATCTGGTTGTTGAGTAACCTGGCGATCTTCATTGGTGTGCCTGTTGTATTGGTGACCGTATTTGGTATGCAGTATATCGCACAGCAGGTGGCGAACAAAGGACCTTCAGAATACCGAATCCTGCAAAAGACGCCATATCTCGCCGGTGTCTTCGCAGCTACATTGTTCTGGGTCGGCTTCCGTTATGCTTTCAAAGTGCTGCCAGCGACGTACTCTTCTAACCCGATTCTGAACATTCTATTCGCAGTCTTCTTCTGCTTAACTGCTTACTTCTATGTCTTCGCTATGGTCCAGGACCCGGGCTATGTTCCGAAGCTCAGCAGCAGGAATCAACAGAGAGAGGTTGTCAAGAAACTCTTCGAGCAGTGGAAGTTTGACGAGGAGAACTTTTGTATTCCCTGCATGTCAAGAAAGCCACTCCGAAGCAAGCACTGCCGTCGTTGTGGGCGGTGTGTTGCGAAGCATGATCAGTATGTGGTCGACCTGGAGATCTCTGTCGATGTGTTTACTAATTGCTGAACAGCCATTGTCCGTGGATTGACAACTGCGTGGGATCCAACAACCTCCGTCATTTCGTTCTATATATCGTCTCCCTCGAAGCTGGCATCATCCTGTTTGTCCAGCTGACGATTGCTTGTGAGTGGTTCAAAATAACATGTAGCCGGATCGTAAACTAACCCTAACCAGATATCACCGCTCTTCCCGCCCCTACCGGCGCTACCTGCAGTGTCATCAACGACAAATTGTGTGACTACGTCTCCCGGGACACCTTCACCCTGGTCCTCACCATCTGGACCATCCTCCAGCTGGTCTGGGTCACGATGCTTTGCGCCGTCCAACTGGTTCAAATTTCCCGCAACCAGACCACCTCCGAGAATATGCGAGGCCACCACATCGACCGGTCCTACCCAAGCTCCCAAGCCTTTGCCTCCGCAATGACGGCCGGAACAACCTCCATGGAAGCTGCCGGCCTGTCCGCCACCGGCACCGGCCCCAACCCAGCCCTTGCCCGCGGGCCTGCACCCCGCCCAAGAGGTGGCTGCCTCCAGCAATGGTCCTCCCTCCTCGGAATCGACACCTTCTGGACGACAGCCAAGGATGGACTCCGCGATGGACCACAAGCCGCTCGTCCCCGCAACCCCTTCTCTCGCGGCGTCATCACCAACTGTCGCGACTTCTGGTGCGACCCAGCCCCTCTCTTTGGCAAGCGCCAGTCTGGATCCGCTATGCTGGGTGGTGAAATGGTGAACTATCATGACATGTACGAACCCCCAACGCGCATGCACACTGGCAGCCGGTCCGACGGGGTGACCTACCGTAGTGTTGCAGCAGAGGACCCCGAACGCATGGTCTAAGATTTCAATCTTGGACATCCGTTCTCTTTAATGTATTTGCAGGACATATGATCCAGCAAATCGCTATGTTGCATTATTAGGCACGTGGCACGAACGTTTGCATTTAGAGACCTGTACAGTTGACGTCAGACATTAATGATATCTTTGCAACCTAATATGTACTGTTCCGATCTCCCCACGATCAGATAAGATAGTTTCCCTTGTCACAGCGCCTGGACGTTCCAACCTTCTGGAAACATAGCGAAAAACTGCTGTCTTGTCCGAAGGGGCCCGATTGGCCCATGAGCAAGTAGCACACGGAGTACATCTTGACTGCATTGCAGGTTACCATACAAGTTCCATACAAGTACCTCGCATGGAGCCTAGGCCGTACTTCTGTATCATGTAGCTACCCAGTCTGCATTGCATGTGGCAATCCCCAGAAGCTAGCAACAGGGGTCAAAAAAGTTTTAAAAAAAAAGAGCACGAGGAACATGTAGCCAAGATGAGCTTGCGCAAGTATTGACTCAGCCAGCCTTAGATTCCAGGGTGGCCTGATCTGATACACCGTTCAAACAATGCAGGGCCCCAACTAGCGCGAGGCATGCCGAGCCTAAAACCTTGAGTTGTCACCTACCTACCCCTTATGGAGCACTACACGAGATGAGGTATGGATCCATAGTTGAGCAAGGCAGGGAATGGAGTAAAAAAAGCCTGGAGCACTGGAGAACGGTCTCTCCGAGGTGACAGTTCGGAATATTGCGGTGTCCACTTACATCCGATGTCGCCGAGTACTACATGTGTACATGTACAGAGTCCGTCAAAGAATCTAATCTCGGCTTCGGGAACCTACACGACCTCGGATCAAGTGGGCTTGGTGGATTGGTGTTTGCCTTCGACAGGGATTAGGGCTCTAGTCTACATCGTACAGGACATGCACTCGCTTGTGGAAACTCAATTAGAAAGAAAAGAAAGGGAAATATACGATACGCAGGTGAAATAATAAGCAATATACATACTTGTACTCCATACATGTACATACATTCCATACGAACAACGTAAGCCCGCGGCTCCATATCTCGCTAAGGGACCAACTAGGCAGGTGATAGGCAATAGCCTCCCACTCCACAAAGTCCAGAGATTTCCAGATACGATTGTAAACGAGGATGGTAACTTACGGTCAAGCCCAATTCCCCATCTTGAAAACGTCTGTCTCAGCCCAATTTCCCAATTTCCCAATTTCCTAATTTCCAATTCCCCGAGTTGTCTCTCCGATCAGATAAAAGTTTTCAGTTATCTGATCCATGCGGGACCCACTCCGAGTTATCTGATTTGATCAATTCAGGGGAAAAGGAAATTGGACTGCCAAGATTTTAATTGCTTTTTAACCTAGGCTCACTTTCCATTACTGATCGGCTTGTCAAATTTCAGATCCAGTTTTCGCGCGGTTGGCGTGGTATTTGCGGCCGAGACCGACATTTACTCGGACTGGAACCGCTCACTTTCGTTACGTTAC